CACCTTTTAAGGACAAAAAAAAAGTGAAATGATGAAGATGTGGTACAGAAACTACAAGAAAGAACACATTACGCTGAGGAAAACAAGTATTGCCTCTTAGTATTAGCATTCTGTCTGAAGGAAGCGTGTGTCGAGGTGGACGCTTCAGGGAGTTCAGGCTGTGGTACGTCTATCACCTCTGGATCACCAGGATTAGTTTCAGACTCTGCCTCTAAAATATAAAGATTAAACCAGCTCAGTTAGTATTGGTTTACAAGCATTTTAAACCTTCTGTAGCGCTCATGATCAGCTGTCATATGTCTGAATTAATGGATTTAAATTCTGTGTCAACAAAACCATGCAGTTAATCCTCACGAAATGTTCTACATCTTTACTCGTGGTACGTCGTGTTTGCTTTCATGGCCTTACCTAGAGCACTCTTGTTTGCAATCACAACACCCTTGTGTCCTTTCCTGTGTTTCTTCTTCCCTTTCATTGGAAACTTTCTGCTGCAAAAACACAAGAGAATATCAGATCATTGTTAAAAAAGCATCTCAGTCTCCACACACTGTATATCCCTTGACCATATTTTGCCTCTCTTTCACACATTTTCCTTCTAATAATGAGCCCAAGAAGTTAAGAATTGGGACTAGGAATAGAAAGGTTGGAAAGGTTTCAGTCGAAACTGGAACGGTCACCATTGGGCCTACTTCTAAATTAAGTATTTTTTATGTTGTTTTGGACATAAGCATTTGCTGAATTATTAGACATCAAGGTTATTTCATATGCAGCAATATTACTGGTTTAACTGCTCTATCACTGTCAGATAAGAATAAAACCTCCACCGAAATGAGCTGAATAATGAAACTATTGTCTTCTGCTTTATATAGTTTAGGGTCCAGCTCTCACTATTAGCTAACTATTAACTCAAAACTCATAATTACTGCATAATAGTTAGTAAGGTAGTTGTTAACTTTTGGTATTGGGTAGGATTAAAGGATGTAGAATATAGTCATCCAGAATAAGGCATTAATATGTGCTTTATAAGTATTAATAAACATTGGACCCTAAAGTGTTACCCATTTCCCTCCACACTGTTAAAAAATACAAAATCAACAAATCAAATATTTTGTCAAATCAACTTAAATTATGTATGCGATTCAGAAAACATAATATTTTGAGTTTCTGATGATTAAATCAATCTCCTTCGTTATATTAACTAATTTTACCATTTCAATGAACTAAAAAATTTAAGGCAGGCAGGTTACTTCATTTTTTAAGTTAAACAAACAATATTTTTTTACAGTGCAAAACGAATTAATTTTGCAACATTGACACTAATATTTAACTAATCTGAATCAACATTGAACTGACTCACGCTAAATAACAGCACTATTATCTTCAGTAGAGCTGCATTATTCAAAGTTGTTGAACTTAACAGAATCATCACTGAAACAAATAACCAAATTAAAATGATTTTGCTGTACAGCTGATTTACAGCAGAATTTGGACTCGTCTCATATTTGATGAAGTTTACATTAATTCTATCACTTTCCTGTTTATTATTGTGAATCTGCTTTGAAAATTAAATTAGTATTATTGTGAACCAATAAACAAGTAAAACACCTTTTTGAAGAAAAGTGCTCCCAGGAGAGCTTACCCATGAGGCGCAGCGCGGTCTCTGTCTCGGTCCATTCTTTCAGGAGGAATTCATTCATTCATTCATTCAAGGAAAAAATCCAGCTCAGAAACTGTGACTGTAACCCACTCCATCCAGCGAGACAGTGAGTGCATTTCCTCCTTCCCCCTCTGTTTGACTTTCTGTTGATGAACTATTGCATTACAAACAAGGGTGGAAGACTGTGGCATGTGTGTTTTTAGGAAACTCAATAGAGGCCATAGACAGAATTTTAAATTTCATAATAAAATGATTGTCAATACACCAAACACTTCGCAAATAAAGATATAAATGTTGTTTTGCAGTGTTTTACATTTGAACTCTATAGCATTAGAGCTAAAAAATGCGCACACAAACATTCTCCCTTATCAGAATGAAAATATCACTTAAGCCATAAAACAACATTTGGCACATAGCAGTCGAGCTTCTTTTGTACTTTGGTGGTGCCACTTTACAGTGAGCTTCTATACATCAGTTAATGCATATCATGAGGAATCAGCATTTATCAATCTTTGGTTAATGTTGAATATATTTACATAAAATTTGTGCATTGTTACTACTTGAAAAGGATAGTTCATCCGAAAATAAAGATTCTGTCATCATTTATTTTATGACCCTCGAGTTATTTGAGATATATAAAAATCCATGTTTTCCACACTATGCATCTCTGTGTTCTACAGAAGAAAAAAAAAATTATACAGGTTTGGAACAACTTGGGGGTGAAAAAATTTAATCCTAATGTTATACATGTATAACCACAAGTTGTTACTGTCAGTTTCATGTTAAATATTTATTTAGTTTAATTTTGTTTGAACAGCATTCACTTACAGTGCCAATGTCTTAAGACATTAGTCATTGAAGTAGTTCAAATAATTCAAGTGATTAAAACTATTAGTAGCAATTAAGATATTTCATCACAAAAATGTTAGCTACATACTGAAATACATATAAGTGTTCATCCTGGTCTGAAACACAATTGATGCAAATAAGGTTGAAGTTCTAAACACTGTTTGCTGACAATGAAAAGCAGGATGTGCATGGATCCACCTCTGGCAAATATATGCACCAACAACTCAAACATTTGCCATCACAAGGTTGGATTATTTATTTTCTTATATCAAAATATTATGAAAATAAAATACAACAAATTTATTTCAAAAATATATAAATTATACAGATTATATTTATATATTATAAGCCTTTTGATGCAGTTCAGATTTGTAGTCTAAAGAATATAATTTTTTAATAGTTATATTCTGTAAGGCGGTTTTAATCATTTTGACTTGTTTCCATGCTGTAGAGCAGTGGTTTTCTAAAAGCGTGAAGCCTGAACTTGCCTCAAGTTAAATGTGCTCTTATTGATTAGTGGGTCAAACTTCATAGTAGGTGTCCTTAAGACACTTAAGATTTAAATTAATAATTTGATACAATGCCCTTATTGTGTACATGCATGTTATTCTGGTGCCCTTTCCCTTACACCTTAACCCACCCTTCCTAATCATACCACCAAAAACCTAACTTGTATCCCATCTTAATAGCTGCAAAATGTATAATATTATCACATTAAACTTGAATTATTATCACAAAAAATGTCTATATCCAAAAGGAGGAAAATATCATACTTTAGCTATCTTACTATATCTGGAATCATAGACTCAATGTAGTCAAAGCCATTTTGAGAAAATCTTTTACCAGGTCCAACTTTGCCTTTTTAACAAAATAATATCACAGTATAATCACTGCATTAAACATGCAATTATGAAATATTACACTGTAAATTCACAAATCCAAGAAAGTCTGCACGAACACCACAGTGAATTTTGGATTTAATGTGACTAAATGACATAATCTGTTTATTTACAAAGTGAGGATCAGGGGTCAAGAAGTTTTATAACAAAAATGTTCTTTGTACCAGAAAATTGTCAAAATTACATGGCATGCTTATTGTCTGTAGTTTTATCTGACATAGAACTAGCACAGTTCAGATGATTATGTGATTATAATTCTTTAATAAATTACACAAATATAAAAGTAAAACTAGACATGTTTAAAGTGAAACATCAAAACCCAAAGTGCTCGCAACATTAAAAATATTTACACTTTCTGTCTTCGAGCATTCATCTTCAAGGCTCATGGTTTTTTGTGACACAATTCTGGAAAACAAAGTTATAAAGGAACAAGCATTATTGCAGTAGTCTTCATTAACAAATGTGCTTACGCTCAAAGTAACACATGATCTACGCTAATGTCCATGCATGTTTTGGTCACAGTAATAGGAAGATTATTTCCCTTTAAATTATTTGCAGGTTATATGAAATATATGTCAGTGAAAGAGCTAAATAGTCCATGCACTCCAGAGCAAACATTTTACATAACACAACAGATACACTATTAGAAAAAAATGACACACAAGCAATCACTACGATACCCTTTGAAAAGGTACTACACAAATAAAGATTCTTTATAGGCCTCTATGGTTTCATAAATAAATTTCAATTGGACAAAAGTTTCTTTATAGTGGAAAAGTTTTCAGATGCTTTAAACATGTTCAATACACTACATTTTGGAGCACAGTCTTCAGTCTCATTTTAAAGTAGACCCTTGGCAGATTGTTATTGAAGTGAAAAAATTTGATTGCAGTTGAAAATTATTTATCATTTTACTTTATATGAAACATTTTTTTGTATGTTGAACTCAAAAACTGCTAGAATATCAAAGCCATAAATCTAAACAAGTTGTGTTCCAAATTTGAGGTTTATTCAAATTACACGCTCAAAACAAATTACTCTCAAATACACACACACAATTAGTGAAGAGTATTTGCTTTATAAGCCAAATCTGAGAAAATGGTCTAGTAAAAAAACAAAAACTAGTAAACATTTTCATTTTGAAGCCTTGCCAATAGAATGAAAGCCTATTAATAAAGACTAGATCATTTTTATAGTTAAATGACCCTGGGATTAAAAATGGCCGTTTCAACGAGGGACATTTTTGTCCTTAGAGTAACTATTTTGTGTAACTGAATAGATTTGAGAAAGGAAATGAGGGTGAAACTATAAAATTCCAATAAAAATAATGTCCAAAATGTATGCAGTTGGCATTCACACAGGCAAAATTATATGCTTTGTCCTAACGGATGCACAAGGCTTAAAGACCAGTTGGACTGAAAGGTTCTTTGGGGAACCAAAAAATAGTTCTTGTATGACATCACTGAGAAAACCCCCTTTTGGGAACTAGAGTGTAATAAATATAAGGTACAAATGTGTACCATTAGACCCAGTGACAGATGTTAATCAGGGATAAAGATAGAGAGCAAAAAGGGAAATAAAGACAGCCTGCCTACCAGATAAGACGGGATAGGAAGTGAGGATGATGGTGGAGAGGAAGCTCCCCACTGGTGTTAACAGAAAAGTGCTTCAACGCCTGCAGGAGTCAAAACCAGTGCCTGAAGCAAATCAGAGAGCGAGACGATTCCCTTCACCACATCCTCTGTGTCCACCAGCACTAGACGGTGAACCTGAAAGAGCATATGTACCTTAGTCAGTGTACAGTAGACGCCATGTTTCTCTTGATGCGATTAAAAACAAGCCATCGGTTCTTGAATACTCTAGTATAGACCTTATGTAGCCCCGCCCCTTTCCAGCGCTGTGCTCGTTGTGTTCTGTCTTCCGGTTTGTATTTCCACAGTTAAGATCTTACGGATTTATGAATGAACCACTCGTTTAAAATCTTCCTAGCCAACATTTGTTATAACATCTGCTTCAAACATAACATTTCTCATGATAACTTTGGTTAACTCTACAATAAGTAACTGGATAACTCTTCAACAGCAATGCCATAGAAATATATACAGTTACCGCAAAAACGGAAGTTCAAAGACAAAATTCTAAAGATGGCTGTGCTCAATGTAACATGGCAACTATTTGTTCTAATACCTCTGCCTCAGCGATGCGATCAATGATGGTTTCGAGGGTCTCGTGAGGGTAACACTTCAGCACCCCCTCAATGCAGCACCAGCGGCCCTGAATGGCTTCCTGCATAGTCATGTTCAGGTTGTTGTAGCTTTGTTGTGCAGCCAAATTCTGTTGAAGAATCAGGAAAACATGTAAATTCTGATAAAACTGACAATACCAAACTTAAATGTTTACTACATCTGAAAGCCGTTTGCTGAAACATTCATTAAATAAGAGGTGTGGATGTGAGTCTACGTACAATGACATCAAATCTGGAGTAAAGAGCCACCACTTTCCCTAAAGAAAATGCAAAAATATTAGAAAAAGATAAATGAAATATACTTTTGGTTTGAAGAAAAACAAACAGCCGTACTCCGTACCTTGCTCGTTGATGACGGGCAGGGCTGAGACCCGTCGCTCTACAAATATTGATAAAGCGTCATAAACTGTTTCTGTCTCCCTGATAGTCGCGATGCTCTTGAATGTTCCGATTTCCACTTCCTCAATCCGCTTCTGTAGAAATCGTGGCTTGGGGATCGTAGTGCCCTGAGATTCATAAAGCAAATATTCAACATTCAATACAGAATAAACATCATGAAACATATTAAAAGCACCAACACACTCTCATGGTGGCTAATCTGTACGAATTGTTTCAGTCTCATTTGTACGTTTTTGTAAGATCTGCATTCGCCTCACTTAAAAAAAATACAGATAAAAATGCGCTACTTTTATCTCAAAATTCAAACTTTTCTTCCTCACATTTGTGAATTTACATCTTTGAGACCTTTTTTCCTAGAATTGTGATATATAGTTTATAAACTAGCAATTGTGAGATATAAACTCATAACTGCAGAAAAAACTCGCAATTGCAAAGAATATGGAATAATTGCAAGTTTTAGTTTATAACTCACATCTAGTAATTTCAAGTTAGAAAGGTAATTCTGAGGGAAAAAAGAGAACAATGCTGACTTTATAACTCTCAATTGCTAATTTATGCAAGATTTAAACTCAAATTTGCAATTGCAAGTTATAAAGTCAGAAATGCAGGATATAAGCACACAACTACAAAAGAATATAGTCAGAATTGAGTCTCTAGCAATACTGACTTATCGTTATCGCAATTCATATTTTTTTCTTGCAGTTCTGACTTCTTTTTTTACAATTCTAACTTTTTTTCAAAAAATTGTAAGTTTATGTTATGGTAAGGATGGCGGATGAACCCAGAAGCAGACGGTGTGCAATCACAGATAGTTTATTGTAGACAAAAAGGAGAAAACAAAGCCCACGAGGGGGCAAAACAAGACTCTGACAAGGTGACTGACTAGACAAGGTACTGACAAAATTCTACTAAATAAACGACTGACACGAGCAATAGATAAACAGGACAAATACTCTTGACAGGTACTCACAAACTTGGCACGGATAACATATGGCAACATATGGCAATGAACCGACACAGGACAGCAAACACAAGGGGATTAAATAGGGAACACTAATGACGAGGACAGGTGAGACTGACTAGACAATAATGATGAGACGAGGATAACAAGGGGGCGGAGTAGAGAAACGAGACAACAAACACATGGCCCAAACAGGCCATGCGCTTGCACACAAAACATGATTCTGTCATGATCCGGCCACACGACTAGAGAAAATTAAAGACAAGAAGGCAGAATCATGACAGTTTATATCTCACAATCCTGACTTTTTTCCCCTCAAAATTCTGACTTTTTTTACTCACAATTGCGATATCTCCCAGTTTTTATCTCGCAATTCTGAATTCTTTTCCTCAAATTGTGAGATATATATGCGCAATTGCGAGTTATAAAGTTAATTCGGAGGAAAAAAGAAAACAATTCTGACTTTATAACATGCAAATTGCTAGTTTATACGAGATGTAAACTCGCAATTGTAAAAAAAAAATGTCAGAATTGTGAGAAAAAAAGTTGCAATAACATTTTTTTACTCAGTGGTGGAAAAAATCTTGGTAACGCTTCCTTTTACAGTACAGTACTTAGTGTACTTACCTAGAAAGTACTGGCTAATATAAGTTAAGTACATGGAACAGGGGTAGGTTTAGGGGTAGGTTCAGGGTAAATACATAGTATTTACATGGGTAACTGGACTGTAAAAGGAAGCGTTACCAAAATCTTCTTACTGATGGTTAGGTTTAGAGGTGGGGTTAGGGGTGGACCGGCGGTGGGGTAAGTTGGACTGTCACAGCCTTTTTTTAAATCAATCAAGCATTTTGTTAGTCAACGTGGATTTTTTAAACCTCAGTAAAAGGTGTTTTATTTATAAATGAGTGCACATTTAATGCAAAGTTATATAAAGAGAACAACATAAAAGCTCTTACAAAGATGTGTAAGAACTTGAGGATACGTTTATGGGTGAGTATGTGGAGGACGTTCCCTGATTCTGGATCTATGACGGGTAGCCGGTGAATCTTGTTCTTCAGTAAAGAATAAATGGCTTTGAAGAGGCTGGCAACAGAAAAAAAAAAAAACAACTCTCTGTGACCAGAAAGATTACAGAAAAGAAAAAAAACATGCAAAGTGCAGTAGAAGTCCTGGTTTACCTGGATTCAGGTGTGATGCTGATCAGGGTGTTGAGAGAATACTGTAGATAGATCTCTGGAAGAGGGCAAACATTAGTACTTCTAATTTAAAACATTACAATAATACATATACATATTTGTCCTTAAAACTATACACAATCACCTCTCCATGTTTCAATCTTGTGTTCCTCCAGCTCATAAATCTGAACCTAAAACAGAAAAAGAACATGATCTTATCTTTATCAATGTTGAAAAAAAAAAAGAGTTGTGCTGAGTTCATAAGATTCAAAACATTATAAGATTCAAAACATTATATCTTATGTTTTATCATGCAATAATAGTTGAAATGTTTTGGATATACTGTATACATAGATATCATGAGGATAATTCAGTGACAATTTTCACAACTAGCAAGCTTTGAATACTGTTTATATGTCTATGTGGTGTTTTAAATATGCTTTAAGACAAACTATGTGCAAATTCATAAGATAGTCTCAAAAACACGGTTTTAAAATCGCTGGTGTTTCTAACATCACAAACTACCGTGTAACCAATCACGTCAATGTGTGATCGTCAATGAGTGGATCAATGAGCTGGTGTGGAGGCGGGGCCAATTAGCATATTCATAACCACGTATACTAAATGTAGAGTTACATTCAAACTAGTTTAAGAGATTATTCAATAATCCAATTATTGACTACAGGGGGACTTTAAATTTGAAAAAAAAAAGGTGTTAGATAGCGTCTTTGGTTACCAAGGGTGATTTGTAGTAACGATGGAGAATGTTGATAAAGTCTGTAATGGTGAGCATCCCTGTAAAGAAAAAGCACAACATAAACAGGAGCACTCAGGTAGAAATTTAAATGTTAATTCACACAAGCCGCTTTTAAACTATGACCAGACAATACTGTACTTAAAGTTCTTGAACAAATTACAGCTTGAAATTAAAGTACCAAGAGGCTAACATTACCATAAACATACCAACTCTCACTATGCACTGAAACTGGAATACGTTCCTGCACCCGAGTATCTTTTCAGTAGGAGGATATGCTTTCTCATTAGCATGGCTATTATTACTCCCAGAGAAGGTTCAGGGGATTAGAGATCTACCCTGCCATTTCCCACCAGACACCATCGCCCAGAAGCCACACTAAACTTAGACACTGGCACGGACGGAGAGAGGACGGGGTGCTGAGTATGATCAATCAAAGCTGTGTCAGCACACACATGTACAGTATGTATGATGAATCTTCACTCGAGAACTGCAATTTCAAAATGGCCGGGGTTTTTATTTTATGTTTTTGAAAGTCTCTTATGCCCACCAAGGTTGCGTTTATTTGATCCAAAAAAAAAAAACTGTAATTTTTAATTTAATAGATTTTAAAGCGTAATTTATTCTTGTGATAGCAAAGCTGAATTTTCTTCAACATTACTCTAGTCTTCAGTGTTACATGATCCTTCAGAAATCATTGCAATATGCTGATTTGCTGATCGAGAAACATTTCTTATTATTATCAACGTTGAAAGCAGTTATGCTGCTAAATATTTTTATATTGAAATGTGATACATTTTTCCAAGATTCTCTGATGAACAGAAAGTTCAAAAGAACAGCATTTATGTCTTCACGGTGCCTTTTGATAAATGATGATTGATTACTGCAGAGGAATTACTGAATGCAATCAAATATGTGTCATCTGATGATCTGGTGAAGAAGCTGTCAGCTATCATAATATTGATTTTGAAGATGTTGAAAATTATAGTTTTGACAATATGTTCGAGATATTGTGAATAAGAGCCAGATGCTGACTGTACTGAGAAATGAGCACTGACGAGGATAGTGATGATGGTATAAAACATCTGCTAAGACTGAAGCCTCTCAAGCTCCAAAAGGTAACGAAATGTGCTTTATATGATTTTTCTTTAATTGCTACAGTAATATCAGGAGAGTTTTATATTATCACAATCCATCCATGTTAGATATGATATATGTAAAAATGATTGGAGAAACATTCATCATGCATTTCAGGGTTAATGCTGTGATTTAGTCAAAAGCAGCTGATCATCTGTAGAAGATGAATTGTGTTATTACTGTGAGCAACTATTGGGAAAACCAGTGCATTCCAGAAAATCCCTTAAGGTGCAGAAACTTTGTCGAATGTCATCCACAATCTACGCATTTTCTATTACATATATAAGATCCACAATCAAATGGAGGGTAGAGCTTGGACATAGCGGTTTAATGGGATTCCTAAGTGTTTTAGCATATGTGAAACATGGGTTAGATTAGTATGTTGCAGTGACATTATAAGATTTCAGTAATCTGATGCAGGCTCACAGCTGACCACCCACACTTTGACAGGCTCAGCAGAACCCTAACGTTTGCTTACCTACGAAACACTGCAGCTTGTTGTCCCATAAAGGTGCCGCTCTGACCCCGTTTGCAACCATTGCAAAGAATGCTTTCTTCACCTGAACACATTACTCGCATATTTCACTGTTTATGCTCTCTGAACATTTCAATCTGGAATTTATATGAATCCATAATTTGAATGTAAATCAATCAAAAACACTGTAGTGAGGGATGTGAATTCAGCTCATAAGCACACCTGCAGTGTTGTGTCAAAGATGACCAGTTTGGAGCTTGTTGGAATGGCATCGTAGCAGCAGTGACTCATGAAGAACTTGGCGTACACGTCTGAGTCAGGGTATTGGAGAGGCTCTTTAGAGGGAGACAAAGAGGGAGACCCCTGCTGCAGGTCGGTCAGTCTGCAGATGTGACTGTCCTGATACACTCATATATCCATATTTCCAATTAATCGATTTAAAAAACTAGCATACTTGTTTCATTTAGAAATCAATCAGATTTATCAAGGGATAAGATCTCCCCAGTAAGAATTTTGTCTCTTTACAGAAGATTTATGGACCAACACTATTTGTGGAAAAAGAAATGGGGGAAGAAAGTTGTTGGTTACACTTTATTTCGATAGTCACTTTAGACGTTCTACTAATTATAAGTAACTTTTCAACTACATGTCAACTAACTCTCATTAGAGTATTGGTATATTATAGTAGACTGTTAAGTTATGGTTAGGTGTTAGGCTTTGGGTTAGGAGAACAAGTTTACTTGTAGTCGCCAAGTTACTTATAGTCAGTTGAATGTCTGTTGGGGGACCAACAAAATAAAGTGTTAGCAGATATTAAGCGGACAGTCTATTAATACTCAACAGTTAGTTGACATGTAGTTGAAAAGTTACTTATAGTTAGAAGAATGTCTAAAGTGGACTATTGAAATAGTGTTTTTTGGTTAAAAATAACATAAACATAAGACAGCTAGGGGAGACTTTTACTTCACATTTGTGACCAAAGGTAGCTATAGTGATGTTTTGTAGATTTGTGGTAGCAGTGATGGACACTAGGTGCGTTCATGACATGTCGGAAATACCGTTATTACGAGATTTCGACTTGTAAAAACGTTATAGAACTTTCAGGGAGCTATGACTTGTGCCGTCTGATCGCTGCAGATTCATATTGGCATTGATAGTGTTGCCAGAGAAACGCATAATTCCAAACCCAAGGATGTGAACAACTCAGAGTACAATTTCATGTGTTTTCATCTCGTAATTACAACATGGCGTGAAAGCAGCACCTTCTCAAATATCTGTGGTTCTAAGAATAAGCTGAAATCGTCATAGCTGGGGACACTAAAACAACTATTATTTTTGCGCTCACTTTTGCTTCAAAAGCAAAACACATAATCTGCATTATTGTTTTGACTTTCCAAAAGACAAAAAAAATACATTGAGAGATTAATAATCACACTGAAAAAAGTGTCTGGATTTAGTCTTAAACCCCTTGAAGGGGACAAGTTGACTTCTTGCTCAAACCTTTTTGGCTTACCATGACTGGAAAAAAAAAAAAATTAATAATCACCATTGGTGACTTAGACCAGCTAAGAAATGGGTGTACAGAAGATACTGATAGATACCTGTCTTCTTCATGGTGAGCTCCTCATCCTCCACAAACGGGAACTAAAACATAGAAGATATTGACTTTTACTACAAGGAAATATGCTCAAAAAAGCAAAGAGGACATAGGACACCTTATGTAACCAACTATTAAATCAAAAATATCAAAAGAAAATGCAGTGGTGGAATGTAACGAAGTACAAATACTTCGTTACTTTACTTAAGTACATTTTTCACGTATCTTTACTTTACTTAAGTACAATAAATAGTGCATACTTTTTACTTTTACTTCGTTACATTTTGCAGCAATTATTCTACTTTCTACTCCACTACATTTCTACAACTTCTGTTACATTTTCGTTACATTTTCTGATCAGTTTTTCCCCTGCCAAAACGCAATCTGACCATCCGTTCGTTGCAAGTTTGTCTCACCAGTGACGTTTGGTTGCCATAGATACAGTATATCAACCCGGTCACACTAAATGCGTCTCACACGCAGACGACTGTTTATCGTGCAACTCATACGCGAAAATTTGTTTTTACGTGCATAGGAAACACACCGTGTGTAGTATATGTTTGGTTTGGTTAGGATTATGGCAAGCCAAGAGGTTCATAATTACACCATGAATTAATCTCGTTTAGTGCCAAACATAGTTATTATATAGTAAGGATAAGCATGATGTGTATATTGCCTAATTGCAAGCTTGTTTCAGAAATGGCGACATTTTTTTCCATCATTATTGAACTTAATTACAGGAGTAGGCTATTAGGTTGAATGAGTTAGAATTAAATGTTTTATTAATCATTACAAAATAGACATTAAGATAATAAATTGTTATGCAAGTACTTTTACTTTTAATACTTAAAGTACATTTAAAATAAAGTACTTTTTACTTTTTACTTAAGTATGGTTGTCATTGTGTTACTTCTACTTTTACTAAAGTAAATATTTATCTGGGTATTTGTACTTTTACTTAAGTACTGAGATTCAGTACTTCCTCCACCACTGAGAAAATGTCAGCAGCAATAATGTTACTGATCTGCGGCCTTGTGCCTACAGCCAAATCCCAGCCATAACGGATTGTGACTGTTATTGCTTAACCGCAGCAAATCCTGCCACAGAACCCACAGAGGAAGGTCTATTATCTCAACAGTATGACTAGAAAGATAAACCAGTTTGCATAAAACATTTTCACATGACAGGGCTCCAGACTGTGACAAAATTTGAGTGTGCGAAAAGAGAACTCGCCTCTAGAAGATTTGTGCACGTGTGTCTGTGCCAGCATGCAAATACCGAGTTCTCTTTCATGTCTTGCAATTGAATGGACAAATTCACACAAAAAACATGTCAACATAGTATGTCTTGATTCGTATCCTAGGAGACATAGTCTGTTGTGCATTAAGTGAACTTATATGGTCAAGAAAGACACTCACAGTATCATGTAGGCCTACTGAATCAGCTCTGAATTGATTAGCTTTTGTAACTTTATTAACCTTTAATTCATATAGTCAAATAATATGCAATGTATTTTACATTTGATTATTTTATTCAATTTCTGTACCTGAAAACTAATGTTAGACCTCCTCTTTTATTTTATCAGTATCTTTGCTCTATTGTATTTATTTGTGCTTTTGCTTGTGGTTGGATTAATTGTTTATGTTTTTAATTTTATTTTATGTGACAGTAGTCTTTTTTTTTCTATGAACAAGTGCATACCAAATCACACCGAAACAGTGAACCTAAAACCGTGATACAAACTGAACCGTGAGCTATTTGAAACGTTGCAGCCATAGTATAGTGTCACAGTCGGAAGATGATTCAGAGTGAGAGGTATTTGTGGCGAAAAAGGCCAAACCCACCATTTTTGTGAAAAAAAAAAAAAATGGTTAAGGTAGTACTGTAAGGAGAAGAATTCCATGACCTGCGAATGTTGCAGTCGCTACGCCATAGCTCTGGGGAACACGAAGCTTGGCGACAGTGCAGGCACTTAAAGGTTTAAACACAATACGCTAGTTAAACACAATCTTAGCCTCAAGCATAGAGTATGCGGTGACATGTTAATAAATCAATGCCCCAAAAATTTTCAGTTGGGGGCTACTGTGCTCCTAGTGAATAAAGATAGTCTGGAGCCCTGTATGATGTTTTATTTCTGACAATTAATTAAACCCTAAAGAATACTCATGCCACAAAGTCTAATGTTAACTCTAGTTGCCTTGCAATCCCTTTTTATCTTTCTTTCAGGAAAAGCAATGTAGTTAATTATTATGAGAAATAATGATGTTTTCATGCTACATATTTCTACCTCACACTTGAACTTGAGGCCTTGTCTCCATGAACTGTTCAGATCTCCAAAAATAACCTCAAACATAAACACAATGTGCAAAGCAACCAGAAAGACTAGTTATGCACATGTTATCTGTTGAATCCAGTCATTTTGAAATGTCAACACTGAAACAAGCCTGGAGGGGGGTCAGTTTGTTGACTGAATTTGTTAAACTTCAGCAAACATAAAGATAAACGTTGATATGATCATTTTTTCAAGTTTAAACTGTCACAACAGTTCCTGGAATAAGATTCACCTCATCAGAAACGTTGCTCTCTGGGTCTTACCTCAGTCAGGGGGTCCATGTTCCGGGGTCCCACCGTGAGGCAAACGTTTTCAGTGCTTGAGCTAGCCTGACATGAGCATACTTCAGCTGTACTCCCGTCCCTGAGTGCAGAACACAATCTAAATCAGGAGAGAAAGACGGCCCAGGCACGCAGAGGGCTGAACGTGAGACGGGGGAGGAGAATCACAGTTGTTGCGACTGTGAGTGGCTGTGTATCCACAACACCCCTGCATTAAACCTGGTCCTGAACAGCATAAGCAGGACCTCAGTCAAAACGTGTAAGATGACTTAACCTTACCCATTACAAAATGTCAAGGGAATTTAAGACGTTTGTGACTTGCTAATTTATTAATGATAGATCAAACAGCTGAAAAGCATACGGTTGACATTAACGTTGACATTGTTACAATGATCACAGTATGTGCCTTTGGACATTGTGTTCATTTTGCTCTCTGAGATTAGGCCACCAATTGTGTTTCATTGGCATTAACAAATGGTGTTGATTACTGCTAGGGCTACTTCAACACACTTCATGCTGCTTTCAACACACTTCAAGACAACAAAGTGACTCCTACCTTAAAAGTGTGTGTTGCCACCGTATCTGCTCATCATGCTCCAGTTGGTGGTCCTTCATTGGGATCTCATGACCTTGTTAGTAGTTTTCTAACAAGGCATTTAAAGGCTGTTTGTTTTATGCCTTTTTCTGTGTGGGACTGCTCGTACTTATTTCTTTGTGCACCACCATTTGAACCAGTGGGTGTCGTGGGGACAGTTATTCCTCATAACTGTGTTGGTATGCGTCATCCATTAATGCTTAGCACCGACTTTGGCGGTCAGGAGGAATGAAAACAGATGCTAGTTACGCATGTAGTGTAACTGTGGTTCTGTGAATTCTAGATGACCGGCAGAGTTCTTTGTGATTCGGAATGCTCGAAAAAGCTTTCAGTGGCTTGGTGCCTGTGCATTATATCCCTGCGACTCCTTTTCATAACCTATCTGGCTGGTGCTGCGATAATACACTGGTGCACCACCTCTGGCAGTCATCTGGAATTTACAGAATCACAGTTACATACGTAACTAGCATTGTGTTTATCTTTACAAAAGGTGATTGTAGTTTTGCATGAATGGCACTCCTCAAACTAAAAGCGCAAACACATTTAAAACACCATATCATTTTCAGTTATAGTAATGTGATTATGATTATAGTAGTATTAGGTTTATTCTTGTATGTACTAGGGCTGTAACTTTCGTGACAAAAATCGTTTCCATTTACAATTGTGTTGGTTGGTCCGATCGAACGTAAAGTGACAGCCCTAATATGTACAGAAAAAAAAAAAAACGTTTTGTTTGAGTGACATTACTACTTTAAACTACTTTATATAATAATGCAATGGGGGAAAAATTGTAGTCCCGATAATAAAATAATATTATTGTTTAATAATTAATAATAATTTATCAAATCGTGGCATGAGTGTATTGTTGCATACATTACCCCTTCAGATCAGCCAAGTTATTGTTGCATAAAACAGTTGTGATATGCTCAAAATAAGTGTGATCAAGATCCACAGATCGCTCTGAATATTTCAACACTTTTGAGGACCTAAGAAAAATGGCTACGAAAGAATTAAACAGTCATATTTCAAATAGCAATTTTAATTTAAAAACCCTAACCTGAGCATGTTGTTTCCCTTCTGCCAGGCATACAAATTTAATTAGAAGACATGACAGCAATTTTTTTAATTTTGACAATAGTATATCTTTCCAAACATCATCTTTCATCCCACACATTTCAAATCTGCCCAAGAGATGCCTTTACTATAAATAGAACCTTTGATGTAAACAAATCCAAATTATTTATAGGCCCATTTAGAAATGCAATCAAACCCCAAAACAAAAGAACTCTTTTTCCCCGCCACCCACATGCACTGCATATACACACACCTGCATGTGTGTTCCAGCATCAAAATACTGCTTTGAACACATACAGTTGGCCAGTTATTTTATTTAGTCTGCTTTCCAATCTTCTCCAAATGCAGAACTGCACAACTCTAAGGGCTCTACTAGGAGCTTTAGGTGAGATGTTAAGTATACACACAGTTTTGAAGGTCTGAAGTTCCAGGGTTGTGGGGGTCAAGCTTAAAAGTCATTGTGAGAAGGCAAGCTGTCACTGACCAGGCTGGAGCTGGAGGTGGGACTGGGACTCAGGCTAACAGTACTCAGTAAACTCATGTCTGGAAGACTCATGGTGACTGACTGAACTTCCCGATCAGACAAGTCCTCGTCTTCAGCATCAGATCTCTGACTGACCATCACACTGAGAAACAGAGAGAGCGACATTACATAAGAATGGTCATGAGAAAAAGTTGTCAGTGAGGGATGATTGAAATAATGTACTGTACATACCTAGATCTTGACAGCTGAGGTCTATGTCCATGATACGACTTGGAAGACCACTATGAATACAAGCACATACATAATGAAAATATAGTTAACTCAATTTATTGATTTTATTATCTTCAACAGAGTTCACACAAGCAATGAACAATGAATTTCCACTACCTTAATAATAGTTTTAGGTAAACAGGATAAAAAAAAAAAACATTAAAAAAAAAAGATTTCTGGGAATGATTTCCATTTGTATGTCAGGTACCAATCTACTGTATAGGAATACGTCACATTACAGGACTGTATGGTTTTTAAAGCACTAGTGGTGCACAATATACCGATATAATATAAATTTTTTACACATTGGTATCATTCCAAAAGGGCCAATGTGAATAGGCCGAGAATCATTCCTGTATATTTGACGTGCGTGTAGATGTGAGAGTGGGGGCGGGGATGTGTGTTTTTGCAAGAGCGCATAGGCCTACATTATGAGTACAATTCCTGTCAGTATAAATATCAAGCGCAAGAAGACTGGAACTTGCGCGCTGTTTTCTGTCAGCCTTAAGCCCAATTTATACTTCTGTATCGAATTCACGGCGTAGCTGTCGTAGGCATGTGTGTAGCGTGTGTACCCTGGCGTGCACCTCTCCAAAAATGTAACAATGCGTCAATTCAACGCGTACCGCAAGCTAGAGGTCTGCACCCCCGCGGGACTCCCGCGGGTCGCGACGCAAAACAGTGCGGTGCGGGAGAAATTTTGAAAGGTCAATGCGGGAGCGGGCGGGATGATGAGGTGCACTTGCGGGTGCGGTCGTGAGGGATGATGCGCTGCACTCCCGCAAATTAAATATGAGTGTAAAATAAAATATATAAATTATTAAAGTAGCGTACATAATTTGTAGTTGTGAGGGAGATTCTGATTGGCAGCAATAAAAACGTTTTAAGCAGCCTAAACTTGTGAATATTGTCGGGTAGGGCGAGGCATAATCTCACGCACAGTCGCACACTTGTTTAGAGACAATTCCTTTCCGCTGCTCCGTGTTCGAATTCGAAAGCTAGTTCAAGTTCAAAATAGACAGCATGGACGAGGAACAGAGCGCCTCTAGCGCTTCAGATAAGAGGCCTTAGCGCTTCAGATGTAAGTAACGTTACTTCTCTAAAGTACTTGTGGTAGGCACACAGGCTATTTTCAGTTTAACACATGCACTGAGCGGCTCAAAGCCCAAATAGTTTTTTAGTCGCAATGTTTTAGTTCATGGCTAGCCTATAATGTGACAGGAGCATTATCGAATTATATATATATTAGATAGATAATAATATTACCTAATCGAATATATATATATATATATATATATATATATATATATATATTGTTACATGTTAAGCCTAATGGAATTTGGGCAGATTAATATTTATCTTTGTTGGCGTTCGTTACTGATGCCTGTTTAATGTTTTGTATGGTTGATTATGCAGGCTTACCAATAAATATGTTACCAAGTATTGGTAAGGAATTTTGTGAGCACGCATTTTTTTTCCCCCAGGGCCAAGACCTTTCGTCAGAAAGTGCGGGCGGGAGCGGGACATTATATCACAGATGCGGGCGGGAGCGGGACATTATATCACAGATGCGGGCGGGAGCGGGACTAAAAATGACAAATCTTTGCGGGAGCGGGACTGAACACTGCGGGAGCGGGTCTGAAACTTGTGTCCCGCGCAGGTCTCTACCGCAAGCACTGTGATTGGTCTGCTAGAACCGCTCCCTCGGGTTTGACATGCACCTTTTGCATGTGTAACTGTGCGTCAACACAGACTAAGACGCAGAAGTATAAATGAAAACCAAAGTGTCCTAAACTACCTGGATAATCACGCGTGCCGTGGTCCATTAATCACACGTCCGACTTGCGAACTAATGACTCCTTTGAATTGTTAAAAAACAACAACTGTGGTGCGGCTGCACTCTCATCAGTACTTACGTGATGAACAGAATCTGCCAGGTTCCCCAGGTGCACCCTCTTCTCACACAAATCCCTCAGTAAATTGATCGCTAAATGAAGTATGGAAAGAGTCAAAATGGACAGTGACACAAACTGAGTCTAGATGTATATATCAAAACACGGTGCAATGCAGACACACCTTTGCTCCTGCTGAGCCAGTATTTCTGTTCCCATTGGTTGAGGAGGATGTTGAGGTAGCGTGGTTGCTCAAAGAAGCGGAGGTACCGGGAGGAAGCATGCGAGGGAAAAACCCGCTCAAAATCTCCTTTACGAGTCAACTCATCCTCACTCTCTGCCAGCACACGCACATCACCAGGAGTCAGCACATCAAGGATTGTGGCACAGAATTCCTACACAGACATAAACACATTTCATTCAAATGTGTGAGGAACTGAGGTAATGCAGTCATTAGTATTAACAGTAACTTCCAGCTTGGGTTAAATGTCCAGTGCTTTCCGTGTAGATTAAGTGACCATCAGTGATAAATATATGATAAAGACAGGACGTGTTTGAGTACCTGGTCTCCAAAGCGCTGGCTCAGATAAAAAGCTCTCTTTACTTTCTCATCAGTCGAAATGTCTGATCGCCATCTCTCTCGCACCCCTCCACATAAACTGAACAATGTAGAGTAAAACAATAAGAGACAAAAATAAATAATTTTTACAAAATAACAAAATTAAATGAATAATATGCACTTTCACTACCATTCAAAAGTTAGGGGTCTGCAAGACTTTTCAAATGCAAACAAAAAAATCTCATACACACCAAGGCTGCATTCATTGGATAAACATTACAGAAAAAAAAAACAGTTATATTGTGAAATATATTATACAATTTCAAATAACTGTTTGCTAGTTAAATACATTTTAAAATGTGATTTATTCCTGTGATGCAAAGCTGAATTTTCAGCATTATTACTCGTCTTCAGTGTCACAGTGATCCTTCAGAAATCATTCTAATATGCTGCTTTGCTGCTCCAGAAACATTTTCTTCTTATTATTAGTTGAAAACGGTTGTTTTACTTTGATGAATAAAAAGATTAAACAAACAGCATTTATTTGAAGTAGAAATATTTTGTAACATAATAAACAATCATTTTTGATTTATTTAACACTTCCTTACTGACAAATGGTACAAAGTAGTCATAAAGTAAAATTTGAGTGGTAATGTATAAAAATACCAATTAATATACCGCAATACAAATAAATATACAAATTGTGAACATGTAAAACCAGAACTGACCTGCTGGTGGAGCTGCTGGCACTGGAACTGGAAGGCTCATTGTCTTCTCCCAATGGCAAGACAAAGCCAGCAAGGTTCAGCAGGTCCCGTATCATCTGACCCTTGATGCTGACGTCCAGCGGTGTGTTCGAATGCAGACTACAGAAAGGAGTGGAAACATTATGGTAACAACATTTAATACAGATGGCAGGATTCTTTGGAACAACAGAACATATTGGAAAATTTCTAATTATGAAACTAAATTAACATATTTTACTGGGAAAATCCTCTGGTTCAGTGCATTTATGAGGCCAAATCCTAATCTTACAGGAACTGATAAAGTTGTGATTAACTATAAGCAGTACCAGTGACACTACTTGAAATATAAACTCTAAGTTTATTTATTACGGTCCTTAAGTTACCCTTCTTTGTGTGCCAAATAAACACCAATTAACACACACTCTGATTATTCCAAAAAATAATATACCCAAGTAATATAACTTCACTCCTTACATCAGAGTAACTTATGATTAGTAACTTAAAAGTAAAGTTGCAACTAAAACGTAAAGTTGCCTGACAACTGTAAATTCTTAACAGCTTTAGTTCAGCTAGGATTTCCAGTATGATGTACCTGGGTGAGATGTTCACCTCCAGCACCCATGGCTTCAGATTCTCATCCAACATGATGTCAAAGCCAAACAGCTCATGACAGCTATAGGCAGAATGTACATGCATCTTCACCAGTGAGTTCACATAGGGGTCAGACCTGCCATGGGAAGAGAGAAAATAATACACTTAAACATAGTGTGGACATATACAAGGGTGGTCTGCAATTACAGAACTAGACAAGAAATGCAGGACACTTACGCAATGATGGTTTTGATGACCATATCTTTGATCTTCTCCCAGATGAGAGTGGTGTTGATACCCTGGCAGCCCAAGTATTGCCACAGTGCCTTCAAAGCCCTGTATTAAATAAAACCTCAATCATTAGACTGAGTCCAGCTTTAATATTTGACTTATACTGATTATCATGAGGCCATGAGCTGGCTGCTGATTAATTCATAAACCACCTTACAATTGCAGGGCAGACTCCCCCTGAATACCTGTCTATTCTTTATTCTTACCATTTATGGCCCTGACAGGCCTTGTCATCGCTGTTACTCTGATACTCAGAGTTCTTCTTATTTACACTGTAGTTTGTAAGGTGCATAAACTTGTTGTTGAGGGTCTTCATAGAAGGAGAGTATCTGTGTTGAATAAAATTCAGAAAACATCAGTTTAAATGAGCAAACTTACCACATTTGCACATTTTTAAAAGCTTTGTTGATTGACATACTCACTTGCAACTTGCAAAACGTACTAGTCCATCGTTAAAGATGTAAACACGGAGTGGGTCGTAAGAAGTCACATACACGTAGATGCGTAGATCAAACTTATTCCCACTGATGAGGTAGGGCTTGTGAAGATACCTGCATAAAATACAGACATTGTTAAAAAAAAAAAAAACCCCGAAACCTCCCTCAACGTGGAATCATATATGTTCCAAGGTTGTCCAACTAACTTCTGCACGAGGAGCGGTCGCTTGCGTGGCATTTGGCTCCACTTGTGAATGACCTGAATGCCAATTCCACGTGCAGATGCAGGCTAAATGTGAGAAATGACAGCATGTCAATGACAAGAATCTCAGAGAGTAATTTCACAACAACTGTGGTAATGTAATGGTACCGGTTTGACAATCCATTTCTGCTTGCTGCATCCATCCTCCCAGGCCTTCCTCAGTAGCTTGATATCCTGTGGGAGAATGAAGGAGCGTGGGAAGAAGCCAAACTCTCTTTTGCCAAAGCGTGCCTGCATCTTGGACAGGTTCCTCCAAAGTCGGTCCTTCCGGCCGATCTGAAAGGAGCCTGGAAAGTGGTTCAGCTGCCAAACAGAAATGCATACTTGTTAACACTGAACTGACAGGAAGTATTATCCAATTATGAAAGGTATCAAAATAATACCAGCAACTTAACAGATAATTTCCAGGTCATTAAATATGAGAAACAACCTTGATGGATTTCTATTAGACAATGGTAATATACACATGATAATTTTACCTTCTGAAACTCTCTAATAGCCTTGAACCCTGGTGACTTCATATGGTGACCCCAACAGCCAAGCCAATCATGACTCTCTGGAATTAAGAGCAGCACATGACATAACAGACCGCAGACTATACGCTGGAAAACATAACTTTTGCAGTCTGGATGAGTAAACACTAGTTGCTGAAAATCAGAGCCAGCCTGTAGATTTTCAGCAGTCAAGAGTTGGCGGATTTCAAAGAAAAATGCACACCGTATGATGGGCACAGACTATGAATCCATCCAGTCAGAGGATGTTAATCATGTTTGACATTTAGTGATTTCAGAACACATTGATTTAATTGCTCATACATGACCCTGCATTTCTTCTCTTCTCTATGTTGCTTTATAATCTAGTTGTCAAATAAACATGACATTGTATATTAGAATGGATGAAATTGGTATTTTGGCCAAAATAGAAAAAATATGCTGCAGTGACATATTTGACATGCTGCACTCAATATTCCTCTCTATGCACATGCTCAGTTGCTCACTGCCTATGCGAACGCTCACATGTACCGCTCATGCTCATCGGAAATAGGGATGTCCCGATCCGATCCACGGCATCGGTATCGCGCCGATACCGGCCCAGAACGCTAGATCGGAGATCGGAGGGGAGAAAAAAATATGAGCGATATCCAGTTTAGCGGCGCAGCCTGTCACGTGATGATTGTTGTGTTTACGCACACGCGCGCAGAGAATCACTCTCGCAGTGATTCAGAATCAAAATCCGTTGGCGGTCATTGTTTTTATGTCGACCGAGCATTCATCAAGAGAGTTACCGCTCTGTATTTACTCTGGATAGCAGAACAGCGGCGTGGGGATCATCGTCGCCGTATATTTGTGTCCACCGGACCCTTCGGAGCCGAACCGTTTGGCGAGTTTCACCATTCGCTCGCTCCAGGAGCTGCGCTGGATGATGGCCGCTGTCAGCGGTACTTCCGCCTGTCACGCGCCCAGTTTGATGACCTGTTGTCCCGCATCTGAGCGAGGATCACCTTCGCCCGGCCCCTCATCCATCTAATCTAGCTGTCATTTATTTTTGTTTTGATAATAAATAGAGCCAGCCTTCAAAAGTTATTAACCTGTCCTGTGATTTTTTTTTTCTCTCTCTCTCTCACGTCCAGACACGAATTTATGCACATATGTTGATTGTCTTTACACCATGATAATACTATTTCTAGATATGGAATGAATAACATTCAATACAAAATGAACATGTCTCCATATAGAAATAATGTTTTAAGTGATGAAACATTTGCTTTGTTGTGCATAATCCCACCATGCATTTAGTCATTTATTGAAGCATCCAGACACTTCACCACGTGAGCAAGCAGCTAGGCTCCTGATTGGTTAACGCGGCGCGAATTCACGCCAAAGTTCAGATTTTTCAACTCGGGCGGCAGACACGAATTCGCGTCAAACGCGTGAATGCACAACGCTCAATTCGCGCCATTCGCGCCAACTTGACGCGCGAATGAGGCGTATTCGCGTCTTCCGCGCCGCGCTCCACGCCTCATTCGCGCCGCAGGAATTTTTCACGCGCGTAAAGCGTCTTTGCATTGACTTAACATTGAAATCATTCGCGCCTGACGCCCTATTCGCGTCCGGTGTGAACGTAGCATTAGTGCGTCGAAGTTGTGATAACGCTGTCGGCTAACGCGAAATGCTACTATTTACATTCCATGGATGTTTATTCATACAATTGTTTTGGACTAAAAACTTCTTCAAATTGGATTGTATGGACGCTTTACAGTGAAACCAAACCATTTTTGTTGGAATGTGGACTAACAGATGGCTAATTGGTGAGTTTCTTCCAGTTTGTGTTTGTTTTGGCTGTTGGTGGTCTGACAAAGAGACAGATTGTGCCCGCTGTGTTGATTGTATCTTAAAATTGTTTACGTCGTTCGAATCACGAGTTTCTCAGCTTTCCAAAGATATGTATTATGTTTACTTTTGTGTTTGTTTTGTCTTTCACAAAGTTAAACCTATAAACCACCCTGTGGGCCGTATACGGCACGTCGGACCACGAAAAAAAAAAAATATCGGACTAATATCGGTATCGGCAAAAGCCAAAGGTGCGGCATCGGTATCGGTATCGGAAGTGAAAAAGTGGTATCGGGACATCCCTAATCGGAAAAGCAAGTTCCGCTCAAATAATGCGACAAGAAATTTCTATGTAGTAGTATACTTGTTAAGATAAAAGTTTCTCCTAATTACATAAATGTAAACGTAATTTCATAGTAACGAGGTGCATGTTTGAGTTTGTTGTGTTTGGAAGGACTTGAAAGTCTGATAGTGTGTGATCCGGAGTCATTTAGTGTATGATGCCCAGTTTTTCTGTATGAGGCCAAGCATTTTAAAATCTGTTTGTATATAAAAAAATCGTGTCATGTATTCCAGCCTTAATGCAAGCAGAAAACTACTCGGCAAACAGTTTTCATTTTAAACATTGCTAAAAACAACATAGCAAAACAGAAGCGATTGACTCACTCTTGGTAGCTTTGAAGTGCGATCTGGAGATGGTGTTTTTCACCACATTGGGAGTGACTGTAGTTATCTTCCATTTGAGTAGCTTCCTCTGTTCATCAGGCAACAGCTCCACTGTAAATTGTGGAGAAAACATTACAACATAGTTTTTAAAACACAAAAGCTGTTTTTTAAAAGAGAAAAATGTGTCTTTAAAAATCTGTAATTATACTGCCAAATATGTGTCTGACAAAGGTTATAACGAACTCTAGTGTCATTTATATGAAAGATACTTAAAGGGATAGTTCACCCAAAAGGATAATTAGCCCCTGATTTACTCACCCTGAAGTCATTCTATTATTTCTTCCATCCTATTTAAAAACTCACTAAGAGAGTAAAGAAAAGTTATGTGAAATGAAAAGAATGTGTGGAATGAAAATAAAATGTAAATGTAAAGACAAGCAATGTTAAATGAAAAGAAATTATGCAAATAAGCCTTTAAATAAATGCTCTTCATATATAGGCTACCCTCATATAATATGTGTGTGTGTGTTTTAGGCTTTAACACCCGTCTTAAAATGTAAGGGATAATGTAGCTTGGTTGGGGTGGTGGGACTGCTCGCGGTGGGCACCAGAAAATTTCCCTTATTTTCAAATCCAAAACTTGACAGGTATTCTCCGGAGGTTAATTAAGTCCTTAAGTGGAACGGTGAATTTGTGTAAGAAAAACCTCCATATTCGAAACTTTATCGACTAAAACAACAAGCTTCCAGCAGATGGCCGTAAAAAACAATTCACGCCAAAAGAGTAACACTTGAACTTGACACACAGCGTAATGACGATTGCGGTTGCCCAGTCCTGTTTGTTTGAACTGCGAGAGCCGTCATAGCTTTCGCTGCTCCAACATCTTCAAGTGTTACTCTTTTTATGTCATATACACCTAGGATGACTTCAGGGTGAGTAAATCATGGGCTAATTTTAATATATGGGTGAACTGGCCCTTTAAAGTCAGAGCTTTTTGTGTGTGCCAACCTCTTTCATTGGCAGTACTGAAGTACAGTGTGGGGGACATATGAGGGAAGAGACTGGAAACAAGTGCGGGTCTCTCCACCAGATCCCCCTCCACATCAGGACTAATAGGCTCCTCCACACTAAAAAAACAAAAACAAAACATATGTATATATAGATTAGCAAGCCGACAACAGAATCTACACTCTCAGAATGTATCCAGAACCCCTACTTAGAAAATCTACACATTCCCTGACACATAATTTAATAAACATTTTGGCTCATTTGAAGATGCTTTCATCTGGCAATAATAGTATAATACTCTCAGCTCCGTTGACTAGGGGGAAACAATTCACACAAAAAACAGCAAATCTGACTGACATACCCATTTTGTGTTCATATTACAATTGCGACAATAATCACAAACCAGTTTTGAATTCTTGGACCAAAATATGTATACAAAGAATCTTGTACTATATGCTTTAAGGACCTGTAAACAGCCAGCTTCCTCGTATACAAATAAACCACTTCAGATAGAGACTCCAATAAAAAATGATATTTAGCAAATGATTTAAATAGAACACCCAGACAAACATACAATATACTAAGTCAACTTAATAAATCAGTGGAAAACGGATATTGAAAGCAACATAACTCACGTGACAGTCATGTAGAACCGCCGAGGTTGATTCAAAATGGCCTTAAACTCAACATGGGCATTTACTTTGAGTGGGAAAAGCAAAACCAGAAAAACACCTACTACAAACAAACTCATCAGCTGGACGTCACTTCATGACAATGGCTCCACGGGCATGACACAATTCACTAGAGACTCATTTTCCTATTATAGAGGGATAGTTCTACTCCTATCATAAGAACAATTGTGGGACCTTTCTACAGGCCTCTGGGTTTAAAGCTTTTCTCTGACAGCAACCATTAGAACAAACAAACAAAAAAAATAAATTGTAAGGTCCTCCTCTGTGTGTTGGTCATCACCATGGTGATGTCAAGTGACTAGAAGAGAAACATGTAAAGTCATAAGAAAAAGTATATAAGAGATGTAATCTAGCTTACATAGTCAGCCTTACTTTGCATTCAAAATCTCTGTAAAAAGTAAGCCTTTGGCAGATCACCAGCAACATGCACAAAGCCAGGATTAGCTACCAGAAAGAGATCTTTGAATCAGCAAAAAGATAAAAAGGGGTATTTACAAAATACTGTAGCTGAAGTAAAATTCTGATGAAAAAACTTTAGACCTCAGTGTGCCCAAAACAGGGAATATTTTGTGGAAAATGAATCACTTATCTATGCGTTTTGTGGCAAAATTCAGCAGCTTGGATTTTATATAGACTATCATGTTGAAAGCGTCTTTATTCATGATAAATGAATATGCATGACAGTCTTAATCATAAATAATAATCTACCAGAGTTTGTGATTAAAACCTTGATTAATTATTACCATTTAGAGGCCTGACTTCACTTTACAGGTGGTGAATTTCCACCACAGTTTCTAGAGAGTTAAGAAACATGATGTATAACAGTGCGATTCATCCTTTTACGCTGAATGTTTTAAAAATAAAAGCATAATTACTTGGACGAGGCTGCCATGGACGTTGTTGAGGAGACATCACAATCATCTGAGGAGCAAAAAGTAACAAAAAGTTGTTTTTTATGAAAACAGTCAGATAATGACAAAATATAACATCATTCAAAAACATGCTGAGGTTAAATCCACAGAAAGAAGCAGTTCTCTTACCATCATCACTGAAGTCATTCTCCAGCTGATCTGGAAGCTCCTCCTCATCAACATCTACCAGCATTGCATGTCTGAAAAGTGAATTACAATACAGAAAAAAAAAAAAAAACCTGATCATTAACATGTGACTTATATGAGGTGCTCCTTTAAGTTAGGTCCAAAATGCAAACGATTTGTTCATTCAAGTTTCAATGATTCAGTCAAACCAATTTATTGATCTACCATCCAAAAGTTTGGGGTCAGTAAGATATTTTTTTAAAGAAATTAATACTTTTATTTAGCAAGGATGAATTAAATTGACCAAAAGTGACAGAAAGACATTCATAGGGTTACAAAAGTTTTATTTTGTTATTCTGAACTTTCTATTCTTTAAAGAATCCTGAAAAAGTGTATGGTTTCCACAACAATATTAAGCAACACAACTGGTTTTCACAAAATCTAAATAATGATAAAATGTTTCTTGAGCAGCAAATCAGCATATTAGAATGATTTCTGAAGGATCATGTAACTATGAAGACAAGAGTTATTATGCTGAAAATTCCCACCACAGGAATAAATTACATTTTAAAATATTTTTGAAACAAAACCTTTACCAAAACACTTTAGTATTTTTCCACAATATTCCTGTTTTAACTGTATTTTTTTTTTATCAAATAATGCAGCCTTGGTGCTCAGAAGAGACTTTTTCATAAACAATAAAAAAAAATCTGACCCCAACATTTTTAATAGTACTGTCTAATTAATATATATATATATTTTTTTTTTTTTAAAAATCAAGTAAAAGCAAACACCTCTGCATCTCTGGATTATCTTCCTCCTCTCCATCAAGTGTCAAGGGGCTTGTGTCCATCTGAGAGGCGAGACAACTTTTCTCTTTTGTGAGATGAATGGCAGATATCTGGTTTGTGACGGTGTAAACAGATGGCGAATGAGGAGAGGCCATATTATGGGCAGTCACCTCTGGAATGGCACAATCACCTCCATGCATCTTACCATCACAAAGAACAGCAGAGGGGCACTTTTCATCCATGGTTTCCATGAGCGCAAAACAAGACTCTTTATCTTCATTAATAAGGCAGACGGGCACAGAACTATCTGTCAGATGTTTTATGTTGCTCAGAATGTTGAGTGTCCTGTGTTTTGCATGTACATTGAGTTTTTGAACAGTGGTGAACTCTGCCTCAGAGCTGATTTTTGTCACTCTCTGAGAAGCTTCACTGGCACCATGTCCTACGCAGCAATCCAGCTCGTTTGCTCTAGTGTCTTCCACTATGATCTTCTCAAACTGCCTCAAATCCTTGGCCGCCTTGCTGTGGTTCAAAAGCACATCCCTGCATGCGTCTTTCAAAGGCACGCTCGGTTGGGGAGGCTTTATTGCATCTGCTTTGAGGCCTCGTGAATATGTCCCATTGCAGCAGGTTATGATATTGGCAGGACTGTGGAGGTCATTGGTCTCTTGTTTAGAGTAAGAGGGCATTTTGGCATTTGGCGGCCGCATAACTCCATTGCTGTTATCCCTGAGCTTGTTGCTTGTCCAAGGCAAAGACTGATTGGTAGGCATGATCTTTTCAATTACAAACCTTTGAGAAGAAGACTTGGGTGGGGAGGGACAGGGAGGACAAACAGACAGCTGAGGTGAAAAGGCCCTTTTACCCAACAGCCCTGACTTGAACCTAAATGATTCAAGGTTCCAGTGGGGTTGACTGTGGCTATGGCATGCAGCAGGAGTAGCGTTGATATGCGGCAAGCTCTTCGATCTAACACCGCGTGTCCTTAAACCATTACTAGCACCATTCAAAGAACTCACGCTTGTGCTCTGAACGCGGCTGACTCTTATGGTAGGCACGTGTGGATAGGCACGTTGTGTGGGGATCCCTGAGACACAGTAGGGCTGATCATACAGCACTCTCACATTCGGCTGAGGCAGCGAATCACCCGCACCGCCCTGAAACCTCTTTCTTTCAGCGTTGAAGGAGCCTCGTGCATTGGGTGAATGGACTACAGCGGACTTGGCTTGGACAACGAGGGCAGGCCGTGATGCCCCATTCCTTGTGTCTTCAGCTCCACTGGAGGCCATTAGTTGCCATCGCACACCCCCCTGGCATGGGTTCAGGCATACACATAAGTGAAGAAGCGAAGGGTAGAGGGGCTACAACCATAAAACAGAGAGAAATGACACCAGTTAATGATAAAATGCTCAATGTGGAGCTTTAAAACCCTTTTTTTGCCTTTCAGCAGAACCAAAACCACCATAGACATTTTTTTATAATCAGATATGACCACATTGTCCCCCTCAATATTTGATATTCTTGATGATGCTCTAATGTACCGTTTTATTTGGTGTTAGGATATTTAGGCTGGTCTACCTCAGCAGTCTAATGTCAAAATGATTAAGAAAGGCCTACTAAATCAAAGGCGGCAGGGCCTTACTGTTCACAGAAGACAAATATGAAACACAGACAATGTTAAACAACCAAAAATAACATCCAGTGATGCAAACTACTCAACTTTTTGTCAAATTTCAGTTTTAGAAATATAGTTCATTTATGAGATTAATGAGCCGTTTTTTCCGCATAGGCATAATTAAGATATATATATATATGTGTGTGTGTGTGTGTGTGTGTGTGTGTGTGTGCAAATATTTCAAATGACAATAAATTTCAGATCTTTTATGACTTTTGCAAAAAATTCCAAATGAATTGTAACATGAAAAGGAATAGACATACTTTAATTTTTAGTGGCCATATAGAAAATCCTGAAATGGAGAACCTACAAATATCCAGGAATTCAACATTTCCAGACCTAGAAAACTCCGGTTCTGGATTTGCTCTACTGTAAAAAATGTAATAGCATATGATGCTTTTTTGTGTAGGGTAAAACATGCTTGCAGGCCAGTGTGTTATCACTCTCTGCATTTAGGTTTGACTTTTTATATAGATAATCATTCAAAAGGTTGTTATCTAACATGCAGATGTCAGTCTGGCTAGAAATCATTGTGAAACTATAATAAGAGACAAGGCTTTAACCACCATGTCTTAAACAGTGGGGTAGTTATGGTATGGAAGACATGTAATAATTCAAGGATTTAAAGTAATAAAGAAAAAAATGGATTTATAAATTACGCATGTACAGTCCATATAAATTACCAAAGTACCATACCATGTTTTTGAACATGTACATTTGCATACTCGGTTTAGTCTGATAATGAATTATAAGGGCACTTGGGATGATGGGCACCTATGAAGCCCAAAATGCTGCTAAAGTTATAACGTTAGGCAGGGCACAAGATTTTGAGACATCCACAGTCCACACAGTGTTAGAAAGCTTGATATTATCATCACACTTAGTGTGAATCCTATGAGACTCTGCTTAGACCAACACCTCCCCTCGCTTCAAACATTACAACCAGCTTGTTATAATGAATAATCAATAATATTTCGGGCTTTCAGCGTGGTCTTAGTAGCTAAGTTACTCTAAGTCTAACATACATGAACTGTGCTGCACTGTTGTGAACTGAGTCCAAGCAGACATACGGCCTGTGTCATCAAATCCTAGTTACTGCCAAACTAGAAAGCGATTTTAGGCATCATAGCCGTAATAACTGATGCCTACCGTTACATAGAGAGCGTAGCACTAGATTTTCGGACACAGCCAAAGCGGAGGTAACGTTAACGGTTAGCCTGTTAGCTCAGCACACAACAGTCGCCCCACACTGGGCTAACAATACTTTCTCGTGACATACATCACCAGCGTCCTCGTGCACGGGACGAACCGGTTTTGACGAACCACAAACGTTTAGGCAAGACACAGACTATGTCTATTTCAGTAAGTGATAAAAGGCGTCTTACCGGCTCGGGCTGACAGGGTAATTTATAGTTTCGCCTCAGAGTCTCCCGCGCGCTCGAGAAGCCCGCCTGCCGCCTCGTGCTGTTTCCCTCCTCGTGGTGCCTACACTGCTGCCTGTCTGTCTGACAGCCACCCACACACACACAATCTCATATACGTGCAGGCTGTAATTCAAATTCAAAATGCAATTCAAATATAACATTAAATGTAAATATAAATATCACATTAAACAATGTAAGGTAACGAAAATCGGAAATGTTGTCTTGGCAACTAACTGAAATCACAACTTTAGTGGGGCTACGAAAATTATTACTAAAACGTAAATTAAATGAAAGTTTTATACTGTAGAAATATTGGGGGGGGGGGGGGGGTAAAAAGAACATAAAAAGTATGCAAAAAATAAATTGAAAAATATAAAAATGAATAATATATAATTGTAGCCTATATAAATACTATGTAAATAATCCTTAAATAACACTGGTCTGAACCATAATTTACACCTCTAGTCAAAGATGAGTTAAATAACTTAAAGCCCAACCATAATGTATAGCCTGTATCGCCTACTCACTAAGTGTGATGATAATCTGCATAACGCATAAACTGATAGATAGATAGATAGATAGATAGATAGATAGATAGATAGATAGATAGATAGATAGATAGATAGATAGATAGATAGATAGATAGATAGATAGATAGATAGATAGAGACAAATACATTTAATTTAAATACAGATAGATAGAACAATTTTACCCCAGATATGAAAAAAAGCTCCGATGGAAGTTTTCTGTTGTAAAGCCTGAGTGTGACTAAACTCATTCAATATCCTTTCCAGTTATTGAAAACTCTTTTACAGAATGAAGTAACCCAGTATCACCATCTCACATGCACTTAAAATTAAATATGCATAGTGACAAACAACCTGCAATTCAAACTCTCAGCAGGTCACCATGATGTTGCACACACATACACACACACACACACACACACACACACACACACACACACACACACACACACACACACACACACACACACACACACACACATTGAACAAAGCAAACATAGTTGCTATAGCTATAGAACACACATTCTGTTAAATGTACCCTGGTGGCTATAGATTAAGTTCTGCAATGTGGGCCTACCTTTCAAGCTGAACCAAAGCTTGTACCCTTTCAGCAACCCTCATGAAATCACAATGCTGTGCTATGTCAGATTCTTAGGTGAGAGAGAGCTTGATCAGATCTTTTCTTCAGTGAGCCTGAGCCCTAGACTGACATGACATGACACTGGATAGGGTTACATTACCATGGAAAGAGTCAAGACAATTCACACCTAGGCCATCTCCATGAAGTACAGTACTCAGGGGGAACATATCTAAGAATATAAAGGAATGCCTGGATTATTAATTTAGGTTGTGTTCTGTTGTGTAAGTGTATACTTAAAAGGGTCATGAACTGAGAAATAACATTTTCCTTGAGCCTTTGACATGTAAAGGTCATTGTGGTAAAATAATAGGCTACTAGATTAATCAATTACGGTTTAATGTGCAGGAGACCCGAGAAAAAACTTACTGGTCAGAAAAGGTTTTTTTTTTTTTTGGTCAACTTGTAGTTAAGTTGACTGACTGTGTGGACTGTGGCCGCACTAATACAAAATAAATGAGAAAACAGCGCTACTCTCTGGTCAAATGTAGTAGGTATGTGGTTTCTTTCTATCTCCCTCTTTTTATTCACATTTTTATTATTTGCTAAATTAGGCTATATCACCTTCATCTATTAGGCTAGTCAGCTACTACCACAATTAAATTCATAAAAAAACTCTAACAGCCAATAAATAGGCAACGTCAACAAAGGACAATACTTTTTTTTAAATAGGTATAATATCATGGAAAAAAGCATTTTGTCCCTCTCTCCCCTTATGCGGAAACACTGTTACCATCATACACCCCCCGAGTGGCCTACCCTCAAGTGTCCCCCCAAAAAAGTTGTCTTATTGTCATCATCTTTTTTTAGTACGTTTTTTAACTACTTTATATTGGGCTATATACATTTAAATAATTTGTAACTGATAGCCTATAACTGAAAAGTGGATATTTTTGAAATTGCTACATTTAATATACATTTTTTTTTAAGAAGCACCTTTACCTTAATTTGATATCGCACTATCTTGCGATATCAAATTAACTTAAAACGTCTATGATAATGTTTAAAATGTCTTCTTGTTCTTGATAACGGGAATTATCATCTCCATCCTCCCTCTCTCTCTCACTTTCTCTCTCTCTCTCTCTCCCTCCCTCCTCCGTTTAACAGCATGTCAGAGCCTGTGGGATGGAGTTCCAGCACATTACTTTCCATCTGGATGCTGCTCTGAGCACCTTTAATGAAGACAGCTGCATCTCTCCAAACTTTACAAGACTCCAGAGTGTCCAACAAACACGTCCAAAGCTCTTTTAAAAGTAACTTTGCCTAAAACACACAAACGAGGGCATCGAGATAGAGCTTTACACAGCCAAAGCATGAAGCTCCAGTGCATTCCTCTTCTTATCTGCGCTTTACTCATTGGCGAGTGCTGCGGGTCTCGTCTGGACCGCTGGGTCAGAACTGGGCTTCAGTACCTGAAGCTCAACCTGTGCCGGAGGGTCTCCTTACCGGAGAGCGAATGCAAGAAGGTGTCCCACCTGCACCTGAGCGGGGTGGTCGTGTACGTGTCCGAGTCCGGCTCGGGGAAAGTGCTCGCGATACTGCCGGATTCCTACTCGAGCGGTGCGCTGCAGTCCAAGCACAGCGGGTTCTCGGCGGACGCGAGCGCGGATGATGTGAGCAGGACGAATGAAGAGCTGTACCCAGGCGCGAGCGCGCATGACGCCGTGCTGCTTCTGGACCCCAGTCCCGGAGAGAGTTTTGGACACCCGGTCGTTCTGTTCTATGTGGACTTCAACATAACCAAGAAGAAATGTGCTCATATGGACGGCATTTATCTGGGTGAGTGAACCGAATATGATCTGTCAAACCTGTGATTTAAAATGATAAATGCAGACAATTTGCTTTAGTGAATGAATTTACAAAAATGACCATATGGCCAGTTTTGCTTTATAGTTCTGAACTCAATAAATAAACAATTGGCTAGGCTATTTATTCCCTATTTTCCCATGAGCAACTCTCAGCCCAATGAAAGAAGATTCAAAACAGTAGCCTAAAACCCAAATTATTTTGACTCTGATATTGTCAGCGAAAAATATCATCGAGGAATAAATGCATAGTTATTTTAAGTTTATTTTAGTTTAAACGTAACAATACTTTGAAATCGAATTTAACAATTGAAGAAATGTGAATGGCCATCAATGTGACCACTGACATGCTCACTCGATGATTTATGAGACCCATACATTCATTATACCAAATATGTTTTTACTGTACTCTGATACAGATGGTATCATATTTTAAAGGGAATCTGGTCATGTGACTTTTTCCACCAGCCATGTACAAACATGTCAATTAGAAAGTAGAAAGTAGCCTATGTTTTATGTTACCAGTATGATTTAATGTGTTTGAGAGTTCCAAAAGATTATTTCTGTTTTAGTGCACATTAGCTTCAATCAGGACACCTTACTAATTATAATGACATTATATATCATTATAATCAATTATGCATATAATAATGTGTACAGCAGCTAAAATGGCACAAGACAATTAATGATAAGTAGCATATTTACATTTTATCCATTGAAATGAAACTCTTAAAGGATGGGCACTGAGGAACAGGAAATCCTGCAGAAGTGAACAACAGTAAAGCATCACAGAACGGTGCAGACACGCAAGGGTCTAGATCAGACTGTAAGTTGGGTAAAAGTCTTCCTCAGTGATTTCAATAGTGAATTATAAAAAGCCAGTTTAGATGTTTTTGCAACACTTCAGGGCATAAACAAAGGTGACATGAAGCTGTGTGAATTAATCAGAGGTCTGCACGAGGATCCGCTCTTAGGAAGTCGGGCCAAGGACCCCCTGCAGGGAAAGTGGAGGGCAGACGCACGACTGAGCCGAGAGTCATGCATTCACAATAAGAGCGGTCAATAATTTATTCCTGACTGAGAGTTCAGTTCTTAACACTGGGTTCAGAGCCCAGCTGTGCCCCCCGGTTCACTATAGTGAGGGGCACAAGTCAACCCATCGCTAAACTTGAACATTTGTGCCATCACTGCTGAAAGAGGCAAGAAAAGTTGTTGTGATAAAAGCTTAGTCTAACACATCTGGTTTTTTATGCTCTTAAATAAAGGTTATTTATGGACATGGCTCAATGAAGAACATTTAACATCCATTAAACCATTAAATCCATTACATTTCCATTACACTAAAAGGTTCTTTATAGTGGGAAAAGGTTCTTTAGATTAATCAAATTTTCTTAATTTCTTAATTTTAGGGGGGAAAAAGGCTATTTTAAGAACTGCTCACTGAAAGGTCATTTAATTTCAATATCATTTCATATGGGCTGCATTTGAAGCTGAAACACAGGAATCAAGAGATATCCATTTCCAATAGCCTGGCTTAGATCTCTTCATCTGGTGAATGTTTGAAGGTAACACAGATGTGTCCCTCACTGGCTATGATATCCCATAATCCTCTGTGTTTGGTTAAAAAAGTGCAAATCAATTTTGAAAAAAGTAAATTTATTTACAAATTATATTTTCCATCAAATTATCATTCCTCCTAGCCTACTGTACAAAAATTTGGGCTCTTTAAGATTTTTAAATGTTTTAGAAAAGTCTGCTTAATCTAAAATACAGCAAAACAGTATTGTTGTAAACATGATCCTTCAGAAATCATTCTAACATTGATTTGGTGCTCAAGACACATTTCTTATTACTATCAATGTTGAAAACATTTGTGCCGCTTAACTTTCTTCTGGAACGTCTCCGATGAATCTGCCTTAAGCTTTGGACACAGACATGGCAATTATGTAAATATATTTAAATAAACTCTCATTTAAAGACAATTCATGAAAACTAAGCACACATGTTGTCCTCAAGCCTTCCTCAAATGAAATAGTTTCGAGAAATATATTTGGTAAGCTCAGGAAGGGATATAATGAGCGGACACATAGAAATGATAAACAAAAAATGCTCTGATCTCAAGGCTTGTGTGACTCAGTTCAAGTCTGGAATCGTTTTCAAGTCTCGCTCTGTCCAAGCTTGACCATCTCATCTGAAGATGTGGTGATAATCAGAGACTGGAATGAAAAGCTTGGTTTAGCTCTGGCCACATTTAAAATCATCCTAAGTCTCTCTGTGTTTTTGTAATGGGCCTCCGGATGAAACTGACCACAGAGAGAGACTCATTAGAGCTACTGATGCTCTCTTACCCCACATTCCCAAATCACTGGCCTGCCAAGGAAACCTTTCATTATGAGAGGCAATTTTAGTTGTTAAGTGAAATGGATTTATAATGGCTTGTGATTACACCTCCAGCACCGCTGTCTAATTCAGGCTTCCTCAGCGTGAAACTGATAAAAAATTGCTTGGCGTCAATAGCCAAAGTGCGGCATGTGTTTGGAGATAGTTTGGAGTTATGGCAGATTACTGAAGGAATGCAAGCTGCTCTGCCCAGACTGATGCTATGCATGTTTAAAAGTCATTATTACTGCTTTTCTGAAAGGACAGTTTCTCTTTGTCACTTTCTCAGGGTAGAAATTAGCATTGCAGGCAGCTCTTTCTTATTAAAGCCAGGTGGACGATCACATGGCAGCGGCGGAGCAATAAACCCTGGACAAATGAAGCTGAATATTCCCATTTATCCAGGTCATGGGGTTTTCACACAAACATCACGCAAATATTGACACCAGCATGTTCTTGAACGATCACCAGGCAATAAAACGGAAACTCATTATAAGGGATTGTTGCTTGGATAAATGTTTCAACATGCAACTATCCAACTTTTTTTTTTTTTTTTTAATTTAGATGCTACGGACCCCCAAATATGATCACCCTTGTGTGAGGGACCCCCGACCTAAAATTCAAAAGGCATATATCTTTTATAAATCACCCAATTTATACACTAAAAATCAATATTACAAATCTAAAATAATTTTTTTAATCAATTTTAGTCTTATTTATTTTTGACTTTTTTTAATAGTATTTCTCTAGGCTTTTCCACGGACATCCCTTGCGGCCCCTGGGGGTCTCCGGAGCTTAGGTTGAAAACCCCAGCTGATTGTATTTGTACATTACGTTTTTTATTCAATATATGTATGTATACATTTATATATACACAGGGGAGGAATGCTTGACGATGGCTGTGAAAACACGCTGCCAGAACCAGCTGAAGCGGAGGAGGAGTCGTAGCGATCGCATGGCGAGCCGAGCGAGGGCCCGCAGGAGCACAGTGGCCAGACCCAGCCGTGTGGAGCACAGCAGCGGACTCTGTGAGATTCACTTTCTCCCTCTGGTTGTGGGAGTGAAAGACAGCAACCGAACACAACGCCTGCGCTGTGTAGGTGAGTCAGCATTGCAAATTGTGAAGTTGAACAGGTTTAATTATCTCTGGAAGATCAATGACAGACTCTAAGTTGGAGCAAGGATTTGGAATAGGGTTAATTACTTTGTAATTATTCATAATTTACTGTTATTACTTTGTAAATGCATGTAACCACGTCACCTTAAAATAAAGTGTTGCCAAAAATATTTTTTGTTGTTGTCACAAAGACAAGTGTGATTTCCTAGCACCTATTTACACCTATTTAAAAATGCATGGTAATTTAATACCATGCTTATTTGGAATTTGTTTGGGATTTGAAACAGTGTCATCAAAATGATTGAACCTAAGTTGTACCACTCGACCACAACTTTTCTCTATGAGAAATGCCCAGAATCTGTTGTTCAGCAGTCAGTCTGCGCGCGCGCGTGAGAGAAGCGCTCTCCCATCTTCTCATTCCTCAGTAGTGTCATTGAAAGCACCCAATTTATTTTCACTGACTGCCAATTTTAACTTTTGATTTAAAAAATGTTCTGCTATAAAGTTTATATTATATTTAAAGCTATATTCTATTTAAAATGTAGGCTATTTTTACATAATTACGTTTTGCTAATTGGTGGTCACCTGGTGGTCATTTTGCGAACGACTTTGAAATACGGCTGGTTTATTTTTGCCGTGGCGGTAAGTGGCATTCTGGTTGTCCACCTACTGTAAGAAACTATTTGTAGGTGTTCAAGTTTTTGTTTAATAATTCCCATTTATAATCCCAATTATTAGCCCTTAATAACTGACCATTGTTAATATCTTAAGGCAAAAATAATCAGAAAATAAATGACAGTTTATAGCACAGTTGAATAACTTTCTAATGGCCAGCTGAATTAAATATATGCTTATTAATAAAGCATTTGCAAAACAACTCGCTATATTGTGGTTTTGTCTATTGATTGCTCAAATTAAACTGCTTCATTTTGATGTTGATAGTGACTCAAAATTGCCAATTGCACATTCCTATAGAAATAACTCAATTTCAACCGCAAAAAAATTGCTGAATGGTAAATGTGGCCACAGTCATATTAACCATGTCATGTTTGAGTTTGAAAATGACAAAAATGAAGTCACCATGAAATTCTTCTCTCCTACTTTTTTGATCCTGCTCACTTGAAACCTAAAGCTAAGTGATGTGGTTGTTGCTGTAGATCACCCAGACTTTGCCAGATGCCCACAGCCTTTGCCACTGACCAGCCCCAGCGTGCCCATCTCCAGCTGCGAGCTCAATAAAAACACCCGACGGTGCCATCAGCAACGCCTGGCCACACACCTGTCCTGCCGCCTCTACCAGACCTGTGATCACGCGGTTCTCTTGTCAGGTACAAAAACACAGACTCAAAGAACTCGTTTGTATGATCTGACCCTAGATCCGCTTATTGATGTTTGAAATGCTGGATGGATGAATACTTAGACTTATCAGCTGTCTCAGGAATGCAGCTGTTTTTACGTGACCTTTGACCCGTGCACGTGCAGGTGGCTGGCAGGAGCAGATAACATACCAGCGGCATGCGCAGAACCTGCAGCTCTTCTACCAGATGCTGAGGAACAACGGCTTCCATAAGGACCACATAAAGACGTTCTTTGCTGGGAACGGACAGGTAGCAGGTCAGAGAACATTTCAAGACATTTCAGTTTTTATTGAGGTATGCTTTACATTCAGGTCCAGTGAATGCCTTTATTTCCACAGCTAAAGAGACAGAGGGGATGTATCCAGCCACAGAGAAAGAGGTGATCAGGAATCACATTTCCTACATCTGCCGAAAGCAGCACTGCGTGGATTCCCTGGTTTTGTACTTGAACAGTCCCACACGCAATGACGGCACCATGATGCTTTGGGACCGCAATAACAACGGCATTGTGAGTGTGTGCGTCCAATCAGACATCCCGATGGTCATGTACTGTAATATAACTAGTACTGCATCGGGACTGGATACACTTAAGTTAATGTTCAAACTTCTAGTGTCACAAAAAAACATGAACAATCACTACAGATCAAAACAATCAGCCCAATCTTTACAGTGGCCTCGGTTCCCAAAGTATTTTTCTCTTTCATTTTGTCAAAGATTTACATTTTTATTAGGGCTGGGCAATGATTAATCACGATTAATCGCATCCAAAATAAAAGTTTGTGTTTTCATAATATATGTGAGTGTAGTGTGTATAATTATTTTGTATATACGTAATATAAAATAATATAAATAAAAAAATATTTTATATAAAAATTATAAAATAATATAAAACAAAATAATATACAATTATTTTGTATATTCATAATACATTTTTCTTAAATATATACCTTCACACACATGCATGTATACATTTAAGAAAAATGTATTATTAATATATAATATTAATAGTCATATTTAGTATAGGAGTATAGGAGTATTTCTTAAATATATACATGTGTGTGTGTGTATTTATATATACAAAATAATTATACACACTACACACGCATGTATTATATAAACACAAACTTTTATTTTGGCTACGATTAATTGCGATTAATTGTTGCCCAGCCCTATTTTTTATTAAAAATAACAGAAATAACAGATTGTCACTAGATCTCGGACATCACAGTATGTCTGTTTTTAATGGTCTATTCGTTATCGTTACCATAATTATTATTTGTTAAACATTTCTAATGGAGGAGATTTCTATTTTATTTCTATTTGTTTTTATATATACCGTATTTTTTTTTTTTAAACTTTCATAACCTCACCGTTTAGCTCTAAAATGAATTAAACCCTGTTGAAAAAATAAAATAAAATTCTTAGCTCAGTGGATTTCTTGCAACAGGATCGTATTTTCACCTTCAGGCCTACTATGTTATTCTGAAGGTACTGAGGTCGATTTGTTTTAAATGTGGGGTTCCTGGACGCACAGAGAGGACAGATGAATAAGAAGAGTTTAGGAATCTCTTATCTTCCCGTAAATTAATCCAACGTGTTTCCCCAAGCCCACCACTTCAATGTGCCCACTAACCAAAGTATTACGCTATGGAAGAAGACTTCTGGTTTACTCTCATCCGTTCATTTGGTTTCATTTCTCGGAAAGGATGAATATCTAGACACTCTGCACTTTGGAGGTTCTTATGTTACCAGTATTTTTAGTGCTGCTAATGAGAACGCCACCTGTGCAGCAAACATCCAAGCAGGGGATGCTTTATCAACCCTTATTCCCTTAATGCACATGACATCCCAGAGCAGACTCCTCACTTAACAAGAAAGATGAGAGAGATTAGATCGAGTTTCATAGAGAAATATGGCACAATCTTAAATCCCCAATCTTATTACTAAACACAGACAGGTCCTTTTATCAAGTCACAATAGATCAGCCATCCACCTCATACCTCTTTCATCTATCTTAATACAATCATTCCAGAAACTGTGCGCACATTTAATTATATTGCTTTTTTAAAGTACTCTCATCTTGCTTCACCAAAATCCCACAATCCTTTGCAAAAAGGTGGTCAGTAATCCCGGCCATATGTTTAGAGTAGGGCAAACAGAAGGGAGCAGACTGCGCAGTAAAGCCCACCCTTCCATGACAAAAGGGACAGACTCTCCAGGGACAAAGGCAACAACCTGATCCCCAGACAGGGATGTAGTGACAAAGGGGGGCTTGAGAGACAAGGACCACACAGGATCAGGGCCACCAGACGCTCGGCTTCCCACAGGAAAGCTGCTCATTTCTTCTTAAAGTAGAAAGAGTTTGACAAACTGTTCATTTCAACAACTGCCACGAGCATGAATGTGAGGACAAATGAATGTCAGCTTGAAGTTCCTTACAGTCATTTTAGTGATAAAACTGAAAAACTAATTAAGAGAAAACTAAAAGATATGGGGGGAAATATAAAATTGATGTTATGTTATTCTCTCATAATTGATTTTTTTTTTTATAATCTTAAGAACAGCCCTTACCCATTATAAAATCAATGTAATGTATAGACTTTAATGGATTGCTGCTTTAATAAATTGCATTATGAGGGAAACTTAAAGGGCAACTCCACCCATTTGCATTAAGCTTTCCATTGTTAGAAACCCAGTCATACTATTGAATGGTCGTCCAACACTTTCACATTTTCCTCTGAGACGAGAGAAATCTGCTATTTACCCTTTTCACTTCCTCCTACAATGACGCAAAAATCGTCATTTTACGTCATTGTAGGAGGAAGTGTAAGAGAGGGGGATTTCGGGAAAAACTACAAACACAAGATCTCACCCTTTCAAACATAGGGGGTTGGACCTAATGCGCTAACAGACCTACAGTATCACAGATCAGTGCCAGTGCGTTTGATTTCAACGCAGAAATGTTTTGAAAATATAGACGAAGCTACTGAATACGTAGACGGATGCATTATGGAGGATTGGGATTACACATCTTTTTTGGAAGAGGAATCCTGTGGAAAAAGCTGAGTTGTAGCTTTAGGTGTTACCATCCTCTTTTTCCCGGATATGTCCGGCCATCGATGTCCGGGATTCAGCTTTTGCTTTCTGCAGTCGCCATGCATTGTTTACATGTAAGTTAGCTTTTGTTTTAATCTAACTGAATTCATTCTGATTGCTGAATCTGAATGTAGTGTTTACATGAACGCTAAACAATTGATCTGTTGATGTGGGTTTTAACATTGCTAAGAAAATTCCCGCTCCTCCGTGAGAGATACAAGACCAGTAACTTACGTGTCAGTTGCCGCTCATCGGTAATCACGCCACCGGCCTCGCGTCGTTCTCCACACAGCTCTCACTCGTCCCCGCTCACCACAGTAAACATGACTCGCGTCGTTCTCCAGTCCACACGGCCCTCACTCGTCCTGCTCGCCACAGTAAACATGACTCGCGTCGTTCTCCAGTCCACACGGCCCTCACTCGTCCTGCTCGCCACAGTAAACATGACTCGCGTCGTTCTCCAGTCCACACGGCCCTCACTCGTCCTGCTCGCCACAGTAAACATGACTCGCGTCGTTCTCCAGTCCACACGGCCCTCACATTTGTCCTGCTCGCCACAGTAAACAAGACTCGCGTCGTTCTCCAGTCCACACAGCTCTCACTCGTCCCCCCTCGCCAAAGTAAACATGACTCGCGTCGTTCTCCAGTCCTGACGGCCCTCACTCGTCCGGCTCGCCACAGTAAACATGACTCGCGTTGTTCTCCAGTCCACACAGCTCTCACTCGTCCCCGCTCGCCAGAGTAAACATGACTCACGTCGTTCTCCACACAGCTCTCACTCGTCCCGCTCACCACAGTAAACATGGTGAATGACGACTGTACAACACAAAAGCCGAATCCCGGACATTTTGGGCAATCTCGAAACGCATTTTCAGGCAGACGCATCACGGAGACTCACTAGCCTAGACTTGTTGTTTACCTACTGTGTGTTTACCGGTAGGCGTGGCCTCCTAGGGCAGCGAAGCAAGGGCATTCTGGGAGTTGTTGTCTTTCATCCACATTAGCCAAAAATACATTTTCTGTCTTTTCTCAGTCTAGAAAGCTCTAAATTCAAAAATAATTCTACATTTCTTCTACATAAATTACCCATTTTAAATACACATTCATCTTTCCAGAGGTGGAATTACCCTTTAATAAAACATAATGTATGACAGGAAAGCTCTATATGATGCTTTTTTTTTCTCCAGGCAGATCTGAAGGAGCGTTACTCCGTGGGGGAACTGTTGGCAGATCTAGCCGGTTGCAAGGCCAGCCGGGTGCTGCTCTTTGTGGAGCAGAGCTACAGTGGGGCCCTCAGCAAGAGACTGATGGGATCTCTCAAACACGTCAATGTCGTGCTGCTCAACGGGCTGCCCTGGGTGCAAACAGCTGAGTTCTGGTCCTCTCTGCACCCATCTGACTGCCTCATAGACCACCTCAGTAAGGTGAGACTTTAGAAGCCTATACACAGCCATACCTTATGAATCTGGGCTGTAGATTTAAACTTTTTTTAATCTACAAAAAAGGTATTCACCTTATTTTTAAATGTAAAAGCAGGTGTGACCATTTGTAAATGGTCACACCTCGTATGCACCCTGCTTCCAGAATCATCCGCATCCAGTAATTTTAGCTGTGCAAAAACAGTCCGTTATGCTTCTTGATGTAGTATTTATTAATAATTGTAGTTTTACAATTTACTGCACTGTTAATGAAAGGGAAAACATCAAACAATGGACATATCTATGTTTATTAACTGAACATAAAGATTAATATTAAATGAAAGGTTCACTGTTGAATTAACATTAACTGATAATCGAACTCCAAAATGACAAAGTAGTTCTACGTTCATGATGACCTACATCCTACAACTCATGTACTTTATTCTGCTAATGGAGCTTTTCCACTGCATGGTACGGTACAGTTTGGTTTGGTACGGCACGCTTTGGCACTCTTCCACTGCATGGTACGGTACGGCTCGGCTCGGTACGGCTCACTTGTGGCGCTTTTCCACTGCATGGTACGGTACGGTACGGCTCGCTTTAAATGGTACCTGGTCTGTTGAGGTTCCAAGCGTAGTACCGTACCGGTACTAAATGTGACGTGAAACACTGCAGATCATTGATTGGTCAGACAGAATCGTCAGTACCAGCGTCATTGTATTTGCGACCAATAGAAATCGATACGAGAAACCAAACACGCTAGATTTTAATAGCCAGTAACAGCCACCGCTGTTATTGATCAGTCTATAATCCCACCCACTTTAAAGCGGTACTAACTGCAGTGGAAAAGCAACCGCGCTAAAGCGAACCGAGCCGTGCCGTGACGAGCCGAGTCGTACCACGCAGTGGAAAAGCGAAGCGAGCCAAACCGTGCCCCGCCGAGCCGGACCGTACTGAGCCGTACCGAGCCGTACCAGCAGTGGAAAAGAGCCATAAGTCTCATCACACATGTTCTGTGGAACGGACCCAAATCCAAGGAGTAATTTCTAACTGAAATATGGTCGAAAGAAAAATGGTTTGGCGTTGATGTGTTATTCTTGTAATCAATGCAAATTTTAGATTTCAGTTCGTATTTCTGTCTGTTTTCCACACAAAGCTATTTTATGACTTGAAAGGGCTGGAGACTTTAAATTGGTTCTCTCTTCACTTAATCCATCACTAGAGTTCTGTGACGTCCCAACTGCGTGATGCTGCTCTGGGTCTGGTGAACGTGACTCTGGCCGGTGCTCCGTGTAACTCCACCCCACCCCTCACCGAGGCAGAGATGAGGAAGGAGTACATGGGCTGCCAGAACCTGCCTACAGCTCTGTGGTACCAAAAACGTCCCAAGACTGACAACAGCAACTGACCACTTCCAGGATGCTTCCTGACAACTCTACTGTTTCCAATACATAATTCGGACACTCCAGTGGAGTACTTCCATGGAAAACCAGCACCAACGAGTAGTCCTAGAAGTATGATTTTGTGTAATGTACAAACTTCAAATCCATGACCAGCCCTTTCCTCTCACAAACACAAGATCTACCTGTGTGTTGGCACTTAATTCACCTCGATGATGCACATAAACCCTGACAAGCTGTTGAGGAACGGAGACTGCATAATGTGTGCTTAAGAAGAGACGGTAATGCAGGACTGAGAGAGAGAACGCGTCTGACATGTCCTCACTGTGAACCTCAGTTCCGCTGCTTGTCGCTCCCGTAGAAGGCGTCCCGTGGGGAGCGTCCCATGCGAACTTCTCCTCTTTCCGCCTGCCGCGGGGGTTCAGCGCAGGGGCATCCGCGCTCCTTTACCAGAGTGCTCTTCCGTGGGTCATCGCACAGGGCGCGCCTGGAACTGAACAATGGTGACAAGGCCACTCTGAAACACACCTCGCACTCACTTGAACATTTCAGGACAAATCTCCTTGTCCCTCCTTCAGCTCAATTAGGGACAGGGCGGTCCAGCATGATTTAGTAATGAGAAATGTTCCCTCACCACGTCTGGACCCTAGCAGACACTGGGCTCTGCAAGCATGTACTTAAGTCAGACCTCTTATTCCACGCTGAACTAACCACTCTGTCCACAGTATTACCTTATCACCGCAAACATTTAAACGCCAACCAATGATAATGTTGACAAGTGACGAGAAGGTATTTAAGGCTCCACGCCAGCTCCTGTGGGAATTCATACACATTCTTTAGAAATTACATACAGTAGGACAACATTTTTTTCCCGCAGTCTCCGCATCTTCTCTCTTCAGAAACATACACTAACATTCAAAAGTTTGGGGTCGGTAAGATTTTTTAAAAAGGCTCTAATGCTCAACAAGGCTGCATTTATTTGATCAAATATACAGTAAAAGTGGTTAAATTGTAAAATATATTACTATTTAAAAACAAATCTTTTAATTTATTTTTATTTAATATACTGATTTGGTGCTCAAGAAACATTATTGAGAACAGTTTAAATAGAATAGCATTCATTTGAAGTCACATCATAAATGCCTCTCTAATTTTTGATCAATATAAGTATCCTTACTGAATAAAATTAGTACTTCCTTTCTTTCAAAAAACAAACAAAAAAACGTACTATCCCCAAACTTTTCAATCGGCTTCCACATGGGCTCCACTTCCTTCTTGATTTCCCCATTATATATTGAGGTGAGCGGGTCAAAGCTCCATCAAACCTCAGTGTAGTCAATCATTAACTCTTCGTCTAAGCCTAAATCATTACAGATAAATATCTGTTTTTGTATAGTTCAGAAATGTGTTATCCTGTAAATATATCTGTCATCTTCTACTTAATGAATAAATTGTAATGTCAATTGTCTTAAAGGAATATATATGTACTTGTTTGTGTTAAACTGTAGCTGGATTGAAAAGATGTAAATACTCTAAATAAATTAACTTTTGTACATAGTCAGGGTTGTATTTATTTACAAACTTTTGTTTTAAAATGAAGTACTTGACCAACTTGTGCACAATCCACATAATAAATAAATAAAAAATAAAAAAACATTGCAAAATTCTGCTAATGTTTTCATGAAACGCAGCAGCCAGAATGATTAGAGGGTATCTTCAGGCTACAGAGTCAGACTATTCTTTGATTTCCTGAATATTTCCATGGTTCATGTTAGTCACTTAAATATCTTTCACCTTTAGAAAAGCAATTTTTTAAAAAAAGTTCAGAATTTAATTCTTTATAAAATGTAATACAAAAAAAGAAACTTTTCCAAATAATATAGAAAGACACCAAAATGAAAAGTTTACTGTATGTCAAACATACCCAAAAAATGATTATTCTGTCATAATTTACTCACCATCAAACTGTTCCAAACCTTTATGAGTTTTTTGATCTGTTAAATACAAAATATGATCTTTTGAAGAATATGGCTAACTAGACAGTTGACTCTAGCCATTGCCTTCCATAGTATTTTTTCCTACTAAAGATTTCAATGGCTACCACGTCAACTGTATGATCGCCACATTTCTTCAAAATATGAAAGAAAGAAACTCATAAACCTTTGGAACAACTTGAGAGTGAATAAATTATGACAGAATTTTCATTTTTGGGTGAACTATCCCTTTATGTTCAGTATGTCATTATATTGAAATACTGGTTTAATGTACAGTAGATGAGTATATTCCATAAAAAACTGAATATATATATATATATATATATATATATATATATATATATATATAATAAATCTAAAACTATAAATGTTAACAACAGAGATATGATAGATCTTTGGACTTTATCAAGTGTAAAGAGGAGTATGTTGTTTATTTGGTTTGGTGAAGCATTAACACTTTGGTGAAAGTTTTTGACCCTGAGTTGAGATACTTCCATTCAAGTCTACTGTGACGAATAAGAGTGTAAACACAGGAAGTGATATAAAAACACAATGTAACAGAAATGACTGAATATAGTCACCACATGACAGTATTTTTATACTACTGCTGTTTCATAAACATTAAAGGGATACTACACCAAAAAAAAAAATAAAATAAAAAAATTAAAGTCTATTATCATTTACATCTACGACTTTCTTCTGTGGGAAATAAAAGGAAATACTTTGAGAAATTTCTTTTTTTCTCTCCATATAAGGACCAAACGGTCTGGTTACCATCATTCTTCAAAATATTGTCTTCATTTTCCACAAATGAAAAAAAAAGTCATAGAGATTGGAATGACATGAGGGTGAGTAAATGATGACATACATTTATTTTTGGGTGAACAATCCCTTTAACATATCTAGAGGTACTCGATGATTGGCTGATCTTTAAGCAGACCTATGTAATTGCTCCCTGAGAAACACTCTTCGTAGTTCATTACTTCTGTGCAGTCTGGTGCCCCTCTGTCTGAGATGAAGTTTAGAGCTCACTGGGCTCTTTTACCATTTTTCCTGATTGATTTCACCCATCATCATTCATCATCGCTGCTCCATCAGCTTCAGTCGCTCTGCTATGGCTCCTGCGGTTGTTCGTCTGTGGAGACCTCTGACTCTGGGGTTTGCTGCTGTTTTAACCACATTGCAGCGTACAGTCCCCCCATGGCCAGCAGCTCCTCATGCCTACAGACAGAGAGCAGTCAGAGACATTAGCAGAAAGACCACAAGAGGAATTGTAACATTAAATATGGTGGCTGTAGAGTCCAAAACGAACTGCACCGACAGACGTCGACCAGCGGCAACAGACATTTCATTGGGTTTTGCTGGATCACTTTGTCTGTTGTCAATGTTTGCCAATTTAACACGTAGAATCTGCATTTGTCAGGTCGTGGAATGGCTCAAAAGAGACGTACTGTAATCTGGTGATGGTCTGTGTTAATCAGTGTTATTCAGTAGAATGTCAATTGGTCCTACACCTTGAAAGCTACACCTTCCAGTTTTTATAAAAAAAGGGAGTTAAACTGCCAACAGTTTTTGATATTTCTGACATTGCCAATTAAAATAGGAGATTTGCTTGACTGTAAACTAGACAGAAAACCGCAGCCTAGGGCATTGTAAAGATGGCTGCCAAAGTGGACTGGCTCGTCTTAAAAGGACTTTAGAGCAGTTTAACTTCACAGGGGGCCGGGGAAGCCAAATGAAAGCTTTCCTCTGGCTCCAGAAATCACTTCAGGGCAAGGAAACTCTCAGGACCATCTCCATTCTCTTTTCTTTTCTTTTCTTTTCTTTGATTGCTAAAACAGAGAGTCAGGAGGGTCGGTCTAGGGTCAAGTTTGTTGAGGCATCAATTACTTGGAAGTATGACATCAAAAGTGAAGCAAACACAATATGGGGCACTGAACTCTGGGAATTAGAATGTGGAATATGTTCTCATCATAATGGAAAGTCACACCAGAAGCTTTAAACAGATACCAGGAAGCATTCTGTAATAGCCGCAAAAGCAGATTATTCCCTGTATAAATTAGTAACATGGCCAATTCTCATTCTCCAGGATCCCCACACCTTTTTCCCCCCAATATATTGCACTTTAAAACATAACATATAATATATATATATATATATATATATATATATATATATATATATATATATAATATAATAAATGTCTGAATATTTATTTTCTGAGTGTACTGTAACTAGAATTAGTGATTAAAAAAAATGTACATGAATTTTCCAGAACTGAAAAAAAAATAAAAATAAACATCCCTCTAAAAATTCCGACACTTCCAGCTTTTCAATGACCACGTGAACCTAACATCCACCATCCTTGTCAAACCTTTTCCCAGAGATTTCCCAGACCACATACGTCTCTTTTCAGGAAGCAGCCTGTTAAGGGGCAGCACAAGGTGTATCTATTAATTCTTCTATTCTAAAAGCATTAACCCTTCACCTCCCTGAATGGACATTCCCACCTCGCTCCGTCCCTGTGAACGTGGGTATTCCGATACGCTGTTCCTGTGGGTTAAAAGCCTGCGTGGGTCATGTTTACATCGCAGTGTCAGTCAGGGATGAATGTGCGAGGTGTGGAGTTACATCCCTGACGGCTGTGTGTGTCTTGAGGCCGGTCTGTTGGCTGTAGCTCATATATCAAAGGGCAGAAGTGAAGGACAGTGAGCACAGGGTTAACATCGGGGCTGAACGGCCAGGATGAATGGAGAAGTCCATTAGTGGGATGCTCTGTGTGTGTGTCAGGTTTAAAGGAAGAACTCTCTATGTGTGCGTGTAGCACCTGAGGGCCTGCAGCGAGACAGGACACAGCGATCGGGCAGGGCGTGGACCGCTCGGACACTGAGAGACTATATCCTGTCTCTGGGAAGATGAGGATACACTCAGACGGCCCTCAGGTTAAGACTACAGATTGACTGATAACAAGAACAGAGCCTCTGGGACACACTCACACACAGATCTTAAGTTTCCCAAGGATGAAGAAGACCCTGTCTGTCCCAACACGTCTTCTATGGTTCACTCTCCACCGAACCAAAGGAATTTTACTCAATCAGGACAGAGAGGGTGTCACATTTCCTCTTTTATACCGCCCGGGATCTGGCCGTTCCTAGGCCAAGCAGGGTGTGTCTTTTGAATCTTTACAGTAGGTTTGTCTGTAAGGAGGACAAAAGCTCACACACACACTCTACTGACCTTCCTCGTTCTGCTATCCGCCCATCTTGAAGGACGAGGATCTGATCAGAGCTGATGATGGTGGATAACCTGAAAATAAAAAAAATAATGCACATGACCAAATTATAGGTAAAATCTAATTAAATTTAACATACACTTGAAAGTTTTACTGGACATCTTACAATTACAGGGCACAAGACTTCCTGAACATGATTAATAATAGGATATGCTAAAGTTCAAACACTGCTTTAAAGTGACATTAAAGACGTAGATTTAGTGTGTTTAGGGCACTGAGCTTAAGCATTTATCAGACAGGAGATAGTTTTGCATCATTGAATGTGAATTTCCTGTTAAGTGCATATGTTTTCAAGTGCCCGAGACTGTAATCGTGGGTATTGGGACAGGCCCACTGGTAAGCAAGCTTTGCTTTGTTTATTCCTTGTATAGCTGCAGTTCTTCCATTACTCCTTTTGAATTTACTTTTTTTTTTTTTACTGCCACCTGCTGGTATGGAGAGTATGCCTAACATGCTGGCTCAGAACGTGTACTAGTTGACCACTGACTAAAGTCTTGGTGGTGTGTTCAAGTGCAACTTTTGGGCCTACAGGGGTTGGACAATGAAACTGAAACACCTGGTTTTACAACACAATCATTTGTTAGTATGGTGAGGGCCTCATTTTGCATCCAAATACAGCACCAACTCATCTTGGGAATGACAGATAGAAGTCCTTCACAGTGACCAAAGGGATTATGAGCCATTCCTCTTCCAGAACAGTGTCCAGGTCACTATATGATGCTGGTGGACTCGCTCCTCCAAAACACCTCAATAATATTTAGATCTGGTGACTGCGCATGTTCAACATCACTTTCATCTTCATCAAACCCTTCTGTCACAAGTCTTGCTGTGACACAAGTGTGTTGGTGCATGATCATGCTGATACACGGTTTGAGCATCAGGGGCTCATGATCCTCCAGAAGGGTTTGGTAGTCCTCGGCAGTGTCGTGTCCATCAAATACAATCAGGATTGTCATGATATTGGAGCTCAAACCATCACTGATCCACCCGTGCTTCACTCTGAAGATTGGCCGGCCGCCAGGCATATAGATGTGAAACCTCCAACATTGGCCAGTGTTCCAGTTTCATTGTCCAACCCCTGTAGATGCAGATGACTGCTAGATTTTGATATTGATTTGGTGGAAGTGCCTATCCATTTTTTTAGAACAAATGGACAGTCCCACCTTAAACTCACATAATTGGAAGAGTCAGTGTTGCTGCTGTGTCAATCTGGTCAGAATGCTCAAAGAAAACAATGCTTTGATAGTGCCACAGAGCCACAATGTTTACAATCTAAAAATAGCTAGTGGTTGCCAGCATATAAAGTTAGAATGGAATATGTAAACATTGAAAGTACTTTAGTAAGACTGGAAGAAGTAACATCAAAAACATTAGACTTCAATTTAAAGGGCACAGAAAGGAAACAGATCACTTACTCTGCCATTAAAGCCTGTTTTCATTTCTGCATTAAATTCAAACCTTAAATCTTGTTCGCATCCTGTTCAGAAATCAGAGCGATTCATCCGCCGTTGTACTGTAAACGGACTGCCTAATTTAAAGCAGCGGCAGTGTCTTTAAGCACTAGATCCCCCTTAATCTAATCCACACACACACACGGCTTCTTTAATTCACACCCGAAACCTTCTGCAGGTCACCCTCTCAGCTGCCCTTCATCTTCAAACAAAGGAGCGGAGACTTCTTTATTGATAGCTAACCCCAGAACCACCACCCCAAAACAGATCAAAGTGACACCACTGTCTCAGAGGCTGGGCGGGATCAAAGCTTGCAGACTCTGATCCTGATGTGTTTACAATTTTCTAAAGAGTAGAGCAATGAAAGACAGAGGGAAAAACATTAGAGAGAAGGAAACAGAGGCGCCGGATGGTCAGAGACACTTTCCGAAAGTGACGTCAGGAGTACGAGAGTGGTGGAATTTTTCGCAGAAAGACAAGAAAAAAAAGGTGACCAGCAGAGAGGAAGAGAGAGCGAGCGAGGTGTTTGAATCAATGTCAAACGTATTCGCTCTTCTCATGAAACACCTGTACAAAATAATTCCACACTAATAACTATCAGGCACACATGTTTTCTGTTGAGGACATAGCAGACACTATCATCATGTGGACTAGCGGTAAAACAATTCTTGGAAAAAATAGTTTGGGACATATTTGTACTGTGGTGCACTTCCTGACTAACAATGCCTCTTAAAAAAAGGGATAAATGTTTTAAATATAGATAAATTGCAAGGTGTCCAATTTTAGTTTGAGTAATTAGCACTAAATCATTGTAGAATTCGAGGGGAGGAGAAGAAACTACAGGTGGACGTACAATTGCATGAATTAGACAAACAAAAATGCAAATACAAATGAGAGTATCCGCATGCATTGACAAAGATTGCATGCACAAAATATGACAGCTTCAGCGCTCTCAAATATGACAACTTAAATTAACAATACATGCATATTTCTATAAATACATGTGGATGCAATACATACGTACGTGTATATTAAATGAACACATGCTAATTTATAATACATTAGGTCAGTAGGATTTTTTTGAAAGAAGTCTAGTATGCTCAAGGCTGCCTCTATTTGATCAAAGTAAAAATACAGTAGAAAGAGTAATATTGTGAAACAATATTCAAAATGGAAAACGGTTATTTTCAATTGCAATATTTTAAAATGTTATTTATTCCTGTGATGGCAAAACTCATTACTGCAGTCTTTAGTGCCACATGATCCTTCAAAAATAATTCTAATCTGCTGATTTGCTGCTGAAGAAATCTTTTTATTCTATTATTTTCAATGTTGAAATCATTTTTCTTTGTAAAATGATACATGTCTTTGCTGTCACTTGATCAATTTAATGTGTCCTTGCTAAATCATTTTGAAATCTTACTGACCCCAACCGTTTAAACCGTATTGTATTTGAAGACGTAGATTAAGTCATAACTCTTCGATATCCATTAACATAAATGCATTGCAGAACATTCCAAATAAACACATTTTGTCAAGTGAATTGAACTCCCTAACATCCATCTTGATGGATGACTGCACTAAATACAAGTGTAAAGAGATTTTGTGGTCAGATCACTGAAACCATATCCGAAGGTGGTCATAAAATCACATCTGTAGTGCAAACACTAATTGACAGGGACAGAACGCCTGCTCACCTGTCAACCATTTACTGCTCTGAACAGATGTTTTAAATGTTGCCGGCTATGTGCGGCTTTAAATGACAACCAGCTGAGTGAAAAATTGGGTAAGCGCAAATATTTTGCCTTGACAAGACTTCTTCAGTATGTCTAAATTCAACATGCAGTCACACTGATGTACAGCACAGATGCTGAAGTTTATCTAATATTTTTCAATTAGGCTGTGCTTTCATTTCATTAAAAAAAATACTTTGCACACAAAAAATGCACAAAATATTTTGAGTTTCAAAGTCGTGGGGGAAAAAAACCCCTGAGAATTGCTGTAGAGTAACTGTACTGTTAAATGTTTCATAAAATCAAGGGTGGAAATTTTAATATACCCTCTCTTTAAAGCTTTCAGATATTAAAAACACATTTAAATGGAACCACACCACAAACACAAAGGTGTGAACTATGAGCTCAGCTTGTATGTCATGAACAGCTTTATCTACGGTGGCCGAGAAAGCTCATTGCGCTGCAACTGAAGAAAACTTAAAAAATAGAGAACAACAACATGAAGGAAAGATATTTATCTTTCATCAGTTACACTGTACAAATTGTTTCATGTTATTTTACATTTTCATAAAGAAAGGTTTCATAAGAAATGGTAATGTAGGGTCCAAGTTTTAAAGTTGAGACACACAGATATATACATATTATAAAATCTTTTTTGTAAAGTGAAAAAAAATTATAATATTTGCAACCGTTATGTTAACAGCATTATATTTCTGTCGTAATAACAGCTCTTCGATGGACACCATGCAGCGTTGTCATGGGATGGGACCATCCCAGGACGGTGAAAATAATGAGGAAATTTCGTTTTCTTTCGTTGCTCCTAGCACACTAGAGCCCTGCTTACTCCAAAGTCCCAATTTAAGGGCTCTGCCGTCTGCCCTTCGAAAGGAGTAGGACATAGGGATGCTCACGAGCAATAAGCACGTCCCAGCCAGGTTCGTCACTTATTTGGTTCCCCTGGAAACATTCCCGCTGTGGTCTGTGTTATTTGCAAGCATATTTCTGTATTTGGTTGTGTTGTGAACTTTTGCAGCGCGCTTCTGTATTTGGAGCACATGTGTTGTGAAACTGATGATGTTTTTGTTTTGTTTTTGTTTTTTTTCCTATTTGCACACGTTTTTTCCATTTTTTTTTCTATTTGCATGTGTTTGCTTCAGTTGCAGCGTGTTGAGCTCTCACGGCCACCGTATTTATCTCATTTGGGAGACAGCTGCTTGCCATTGTTTGGATTTTCCTTCATACACCTTTCATTTCTTTAAGCTAGGGTGTTATTCTGAAGACACTGGGTTTAAGGACAAATAGATCAATTTAATTAATGCTAGAGATATGGCCCAGATGGCCCAACAAAAGCTTTTATCAATACATGATGTTATCTGAGGGATAAAGCTTTGAATATAGAGCAGTAGACAATATATTTCAGGGCCTGGACATTTCATCAGGACAGATAAGGTCACATTAGTGAAATGTCAGTGTAATTTCACAGAAAAAAAATCCATTGTCACATATAGTGATGTAACAAAACAATTTGAAACCTTCTGTTGGTCAACATGTCCGTGTGACCATCTTGAACCTTTTGCAAAACTTTTTCGCCCTTCACATGGATACTTATTGAGATTAAATAAAAATTCACTGAACAGTAAATGTGACAGCACCTTATGTCTTATTTCTGATGACCTCCATCAGAAACATGACCTCCATCAGTAGCACTGAGGGTAAAGATGAACAAAAAACTTTAAAGCAAACCAAAGATAAACCATTAAAATAAACTATAACGCTAACTATATGTTAGCATCCACATCAGCGAACGATATACATTTTTTACTGTCGCACAGCAGTTTTGTTGTCTGCTACTTAATTTAAATGCTTGAGCTGTTAACGCAGGATGGATTCTGAGTGGTTGTCAAAGTTTTCGCTCTTCAACAGGAAAATAAAAATCGTTCTAAAACGTGATTTGAATTCTATAGTTTCTGTGCTGCTTTCGTTATAGTTGTGGTGTGGACTCTGCCATCCTTTTATATTTAGAATGATTTTTAGAACTATATATTTTTAATTATCATTATAGTTATCATCCATGGTGTGAACAGACCTTAACTAACCAAAACGAACAAAGTAACTAACTAGAAGTCCCCCCTGTGGTATTTTACACCTTTATTTGTAAAAATAATATATTAACAAAATGTACAGAAAAGTACGGTTTTAACAGTAATTTAATAACTTTAGGTTATAAGAGGCTTGTAGATTGTGAAGCTACAATTTTAAAGTAATTTCTCCAATACTGACCATTAGATTGAGTTGCATTAACAAGAATAAGACTTACCTGTGTGCCACGACGAGAGTGGTGTGGTTGGCACACACCTTAGCAAGAGAAGCTTGAATGTTACGCTCCGTTTGACTGTCTAAAGCAGATGTGGCCTGAAAGTAAAACATGTGAAGCAGGATTAAGTACATACCCATATCATAAATTGTCAACCTTCAAGACAGCTTTTACTCACTTCATCAAGCAAAATGATGCGAGGGGATTTCAGGATTGTGCGAGCGATGGCCACTCTCTGTTTCTCTCCACCACTCAACTTCAGACCCCTTTCACCCACTTCAGTAGCATATCCTAACAATAATAACCAAAGGAATGTTTAGAGAAAAAATAACATTTTGTAATCATTTACACACCGTACACTACCGTTCAAATGTTTGGGTCAGAAAGATGAATAAAAATTCAGCAAAGGATGGATAAAATTGATTAAAAGTGACAGTAAAGACAGTAAAATGATAACAACAAGCAATGTTTCTTGAGCAGTAAATCATCAAAAGCTTTAAAAAGTCTTACTGACCCCAAACATTTGAATGGAAGTGTATGCATTCCAAGGATGTACCTATGCTTTGGCTGCATTATAAAACTTGAGCAATTTCCAATGTAATGTTGCTATTCTCTGAACAGACAAAATAAATGACTAAATCTAGCTATAAAAATTTAACAGTCCTCTACCGTCTGGAAGGGATAATATCTTATGGTGGATATCAGCAGCCACTGCAGCCTCTTCCACTTCCTGGTCACTTGCAGAGATGCGTCCGTAGCGAATGTTTTCACGGATGTTGTCATTGAAAAGGACGGTGTCCTGAGGAACTACACCAATGTAGGATCGGAGGGAGTTCTGTCTCACCTGCATGTATAAAGATGAACATGCCAAGAAAGGTATGTCATTCAAATAAAGTACTTGTTAATCAACTAGAAATTCTATGTTGGTGTACAGTATATGCAAACGATTGAGGCATTTTGTTTAGACATTTGCACGTAGTTTTAGTTTTTATCTTCATACAAAGACTATCTAGCTTTACGCAGCCCTACATTATAACAACAGGTGAATCGTGGATAGGTGGGGCTCGAACTTTAAAGTATTTCACCACCTGAGGGTTTGGAGGTCTCCACTGCCTTTGAAAGTTAAGGAGCCAGGTGCTGATGGGCTATGAAGGGGTCCCAAGCTCTGAAGATCTGAAACCCCAATTATAAAGCAGGGTGACAATCTTCACATGCTGCGTGTTATTGGGAGGGGTGCGGCGATAGACCCCTGCCGAGATCCAAAGCCTGGCAAACTCTGTGAGGCAGTGCCAGCTGACATCAAGGGTTTCGAACAGAATAAAGAGGAGCAGAGACAAGACAAAGTAGGTCTGGAATGGGCACAAATTTTAAGGAAGCGCTAAGCTGACCCCCTTTCAGCAATATATAAAGAGTCCCGCTGCCGAGACGGTCCACGTCGTTTCCATGTTTCAGCTTGAAGTAAAATATGTCTTGGCAGTGGCACAAAACAAGCCACTGTTTGACAGAATGTTGACATTTTATATTTTATATAACTATAATTTGCTAAATTTATTTAAATGTAAGAAGCAACACAAAGCTAGATTCGAAATGATCTTCCTCCAGTATGGTTCTCGAACTTTTCACCACTATGTTCACCATTGGTCCTGGTCCGCTTAGCGTTCTTATAGGAATTTTTAAATTCCCGAACCCAAAGTCATTATGATATTTTCACAACCTGATTGGTCGCATTTTATTAAGTATATTTTGTGACGGAACTCACCGAACATCCAAAACAATGCTGTGTACCGGGCTAAATGCACTCGTTGTATGTGCATATAATGGTGTTTTGGCCAGCTGAAAACTCGTGAAAAGGAGTCAAAACAGCAGCAGGAATCCCTCCGTCACACACACAAATGAAGATCTGCTGCAAGGAGATGCGGTTTGGATGCCTGTACCGAACTGTGATGGGCAACATTGTAAATATGATGAGAAAAAACGGGTATGCTTGAGCATTCTGTCCTTTTTAGGGTCACATTTTGTGACATCATGTCCGGTTTTTGGCTAATTTACATGTCTTTGGTCCGTGTTGCGATCATTCGAACCGCACTAGAGATCGTTTTTAAGTGAACCGTCCGAGACTCATCTTTTCAGTGGAATCAGCTTGTTTGGTTCAGGGTTCAGATGGCAGGGTTCACACTTAATTCAGTTCACACTGAAATGAATTGCACTAACATAATCTCATCAGGGCTTGTTTTAATCAAATCAAACATGCCAATTGTGAACACACCATAAATCAGATCATCCAAATTATGTGTCATATTTTGATTATTACCAATTTGTATTGAATCCTTTAATTCTTAAATCTCAGTCCAGAAATTTAGTCTCAGTCCACTTTTAAAGCTTGAGTCGAGGGCAAAAACACAACTACATTGTGACTGTTCTCATCATACCTATCCACATTTTGCAATGCAAAAGAATGAATTCTGGTTATATATTAAACCAGGGATGTTCAATATAAGTTTCCAAAGGTCTAGTCTATGTATTTTCTATCCCAGCGGAGGCCCGGACAGACATCTTTTGCAACAGTTAGCTATAAAATTCCATGTGGACAGCAGCAGTTCTTTGAAAAAGAAAAATCCAGAATGTTTAAAATAGTCATCCAGGATGAGGATATTGGTGCCAAAGCATTGGGGTGTCTGAGATATTAGTGTCTGCCTAGAAATTGGGGCTTTGAAGCCATAACTATTAGAGGGAATGTCAAGGCATCTTATCTGAAGAATAAACTGAAATGTGCAGACATTAAGTCTCGACAAATCAATATTAAATTAAGGGAGATTATCCATACAGATTAGATCTTGTGGCAATGAGGTCATAGCACAGGTATCACCAACCCAATGATTGTCTCAGCTTGATGGTTATGAACTTGTGATAACATCTAATATGTTATCTGTGTCCTAATGTCCCACAAGAGCATTTGCTGTTGTACAGCAATTAACTAAAGCTAATGTCTGAACTTTGGTGCATACAATTGAAACCAAAGATGTTTAAGATAATTTTTAAATTATTTGACAAATGTACAGTGATTCAAACACCATAAAGTGAATGCTTACAAGCGGAGTGAGAGTTCCGACTTTAAGACAACAAGCAATTAAGTCTGAAAAATTACCACCCAATAGTCAAATATTCACCCTAAACTAAGGCAATTTTTGTAAGACCCAAATGTTCTGATAGATAAGTAGTTAATCAGCCTATGTATGGCTTTTTTATAGTCTACATTTGTGTCCGCATATTAAGCTGGGATAGGAAAATAATTTAACATTTTAAAATGACACACTTCAGCTTCCGATTTAGTCTATGCAGCTTCGAGAAGCTTTCAGGGTTTTTTTTTTTCCTTTTGAACTCAGCTCAGAAAAACTGACCCAACAAACATCAAAAAATGTACTAACAGAATCAAACTAACTGCTGTAAGAAAAACTGACCGTAATCTTACCCACAACAAGGGAAACTCAAAATTATTCTTAGATCACATTAAAGAAAATCCCCCGTTCTCCAAGCGCTGACAATAATAGAGCGAGTGAGTGGGAGAAGAGCGTGTGGTGCTCTGGCTGTTCAGTCGACCATTAATCCATGTGGCGAGTGGAACCAGCCTCAATGTTTTCACTTCAAACGCCTGACGAATTAGATCCCCCTTTGAAGTTTGCTTTTTTGTTTTTTCTTTTGTTTATTTTTCGCCTGTTTTTTAGTGTGCTTAATTCACCATCTTTCCATTCCTTCTTCCCATTCATTTGGCTCTTAAAAAAAGTCAATGTCCTTAATTTATGAACTAATTAACATCAGACTGGGCCGGGTGAGAGAGGGCTTACTGCAGCCATGTGAAACACAAATGGCTTCCCAGGTCTTTATGGGAGTGTAGCATCTGTCCCCTCACAATACAACTTTTATCCTAAGAGACGGCACTTTCGCTCTGGTTTCCGGTCCTATTTGCAACAGTATTCTCAGTATTCATTTTCAGAAAAAAAAGTGAAAGAAGTCAGCACATTTATGCCTTTGAAGTTTTTCAAAAAAGTCTTAGAAGAAGAAACAAATTAGAAAAGATTGGCACAATTATACATTTCAATATTTTGGAAATACTGCACTTTTAGTGAAAACCCATTCTCTCAAGCATGATTAAGATATTTACTTTCATCATGCCATTTAGATATCGACTGTATTTGAGTATCTTTTCCGCCATTTGAAATGGATTCAGGTTAAAATCAGGTTGTCATCAGTGAGGAACACTGGACTCTCACTTCAGACAGACTCTAGTATACACAAAAGTCAATTGGTTCTACCACTAGCCCGAGTCAACTAGTCACAGATCACATACTATATATTCAGTTGCACTTGTTCTATATGCTGAAAGGAGATGAGGTGTGCTGGTATATTTGAGTGTTTGGAGTGTAAATGTCACGGGCCAGGGGTTGCAGGGCCCTCCAACACACCACCCTTAATGAATACCACTCTGGGGAGCTACACCAAAGGGACAACACAAGGCAGGACAACAAGGTAAAAAGAACAGATTTTGCTTAATTAAATGTAAATGACTCTAAAACACTCCCAAATAGACACAAGACTCTTCAGGACAACGGTGGTGGAGCAGAGTAAGCAGAGCTTCAAGTGGGGAGGCCCTCAGAAATACGAGTAACTCAGTGTCCCCGTCCTCCAGGACAGTGGTGATGGAGCAGGGTGCAGTACTCTTCGAATAGGAATGTTCAAGACATCAAGGTAAGTAACTAAATTTCTCTGTCTCCAGAACAGTGACGATGAAATGACGGACAGTGTCTCCCAAGTAGGAAGGCTCAGAGCTAGGTAAATTACCCAGATCCTCTGGGACAGCAATTGGAAGACAGAATGCAGCGGGCTTTTCTCCGTTCCCCAGGACAACATCAATGATGAGTCAGAATGCAGTGGGCTTCGGACAAGAAACACTCAGAATAGCAGATACCTGGACTTTCTCTGTTCCCCACAACAGCAATGAGTGGAATCCTCGCTCACCAGCCTCAATGACATACACAAAGGATCACATCGGCGGGTAATCTTTCTAGTTCATCCTTGTCCACACTGTGGCATAAAAGCTCCAATATATTTGGAATTACTTACAAGAAGTGAAAATAGAGTGAACCTGGAGTACTTTGCACTCCCAATATAGCATGTAAGCAAGCCAGAACTGTTGAAAACTGCTCAGACACCCTGAAGCTAAGTAAATGCTGCCCAGAGTAAGACTTCTGTTCTGTAGCATTTATGACAAAGAAAGCATCAATGGCAAAATGCAAAGGGCACACTCTTCTCTAGTTGCCCACCATGCTAAAGCTGCACAGTGTATCATTTATATAAGATAAATAATATTTTTTATATGTCGACTAGTAAAAATATAGTATTCATGCAGGCCCTAATACACCAGGACCTGCATTTCAAGCCACTAAACGGTACTAATCCTTAAATAGCACATTGTTTAGATGTTGCCTTATATATTCAAGTTGTCCAAAATAAGAAAAATGAGGCACATATTACCGTTAACAATTGAATTATCACCCTCATATGACTAATGTGCATGTCAAATGCAGTTACAGTGCACCATTTTTTTATGCCATGATAAACTTAAATGTTTATATACGTTGTTTATAATAGTTTGACTACTTAATGGCCACTCAGTGTAGCCAGAAACATAAACAATTTTCTAGTTTATTTGTGACACTAAGTCAACTGGTTATGCGTTTCACATGGCACAGCACGTCTAGACCCTCAGACGGGGAAAACAAGCCATATCAGAGGCTCAAAGATGAGAGAAACCCAAGCAAAACTGTGATATGCAAAACATAAAACATA